GTTCTGCCTATCATCCTCGTATCTAATCCGCAATTCGAAATTCAATCCGACCAACACACATTAACCAAATAACACCAGCTGGTCACCCCCACGTGCTGCGCTCGGACGAGTCATACCTTGGCGGAAGAATTCCGTTTTTTCGGAGTCGCCGCTTTTCCTCCCGGCTTCCTCCTCTTCTTTTGGCTCGCGCAGGCCTCGTCCTCTCCGTCGCCCTCGCTCTCGCCCTCGCCCTCGCCGCAATTCTGCTCATCGTCCTGAGCGCCGGCTGCCTCGACGTCCGGAGCTTTGGGGGGGGAGAACAGCGTGGACTGGACCAACCTCCGGCGGACGCCTTTGCGCTCGCCGGCCTCGGCCGCCGGCGGGGATTCCTGCGGGAGCGATGGGTCCATCGGAACTGAATTAGGGTTTGGCGGTGATTTGGGGATTTTTCGGAAGGGACTGAAGCTCAAATTGACGACGATCTAGAGAGAGAGGGATCTTCCCGCCTTATTAGGGAGTTTCCTCTTCTTCTTTCTTCTTCTTTTTTTCTTTCCTGCGCCTTTCCTCCGTAGAGTTTCCCTAATTTACTGGGTAACGTACTTGAAATTTGCTGATTTTGTGAGAAAAAGAGAGAAAAAAAATATATATCCTTTTTTTGATACCGGTAGAACCGGTGGCCGGTGACCTTGGTTTCAGCGTTTTCCCGCTAATGACTTTCGCGTGCAACGGCGAACAGCGCAACGAGCACTCGCAGTCTCCCGCCAAATTTTTCTCGTCTAGTATATATATATAATTTTCTATATTATTATGTATTTTTTGGTATTTGAACGGAAAAAAGGAAATAAAACGAAGGACCCAATATTTATCCGGAACTTTTAGGTAATAATAGTGGTTAACTCATTTTCTAATTCAAACTTACTGACTTTTTCGACTTCGATGATTATATACTGATATCGTTCATTTACAGGACAATTTTGTCTCTTTAGGTGATTCAGTAAATCGAGAGAAATTTACTTTGCTCTTTGAGCCTTTGATGAGGGCTATTTGTGAAATTTACCTGTGTTGCGTTGTTGGTGCGACTGGATTTGCTTTGAACCACACTTGTACTACATAGTTGATGTGGAAACGAGGAAACTTTTTCAATGGTAACGGGTCTGATAACGATTGCTTGTTAATGGTGGGAGGAAAGCATTTCAAGAGAAAGTAAACCATTAAAGTCTTGCCTGTAGCCCACTGCTCTGGAGCATTTGTAAGCATGAGTAAATAACGTTAATCATATTAGTGTTTTCTACTATGAAATGCCAATTTTCTTATTCACACGAAAAAACTTACAGCTGTTTACTTTACATCTTAGTTCAAGTAAATATATATGTAATATATGTCAGATTTAGAAACTTGTGATTTTAAAAGTAACACAATGGTCGATTAATTGACAAAGGTATTTATAATTTACTAGAAATATATCATGCAAAGTAAACTGTTGTAATTTGTTCAATTTGATCATTGAATCTTCGATATATGGTTAATTTAGTCATTTAACTAGAAAATTCAGGTACTGGATAGAATAGAGGAATACAATAATTAGGGACTAAATTGGACATTTACCAAAAAGTTCAAGGACCATGTTAAATAAATTAAAAGTTCAAATACCATATTGCACATCGAGTTAAAGTTTAAATATCACATTAAATAAATAAAAAGTTTATAGACGATATTGCATATTGAGTCAAAGTTCAATGATCATTTGTGTAGTTATCCAAAGAAAAATCGAGTCACGAGAGAAGCCTATCAAGTTTATTCCGGAGCCCATTACGATTTTATAACAGTTTTTGGAGACAACTTTTAATTAGAAAAAATTAATTTATTCTCTTCAAAATATATTCACGATGAAACTATCTCATTCATAAAAAAATTGGGAGCGTGCATCACACGCAAAATAAGCCGCGTGACGCATCACTTCGCGCAAATTAGAGAAGAAACCAGAAATTCTTTACGCGCAGGCAGGTGCCTCCATCCAAATAAAGCAGCGGAAAGAAACCGAAATAGCCCCTAAAAGAAGAGAAGGTGGGGCCCGTTTCTCCTCAGTACAAATTCCTCCAAAGCAATGCCGCATAGTTACCAAAATGCCCCTGCTTGCAAAGTTTCTTCACTTTCCCACTTTCACTCCCAATAATAACCCATTCAACATCAATTATAATTTGTTTTGTAACGTTTTTGTTCCCATAAATAATTTCTGTTCAGAAATATTTTTTTTATTTCTATTGCCTAGACAAGTTTCTGAGCAAATAAACGCGTTTAGTAACTGCACAAAATTTTTATTTCCAGAGTAGAAAAAGAACAGAAATACGTTTTGGTAGGATACTAAAAATTTTTACTCTCAATATTTTTATTTAATTATAAAATTATTGACGGAGACTTAACAATTCGTATTTAGATAAAATTGGGCTAGAAATAGAATAAGAATATATTATGATATAGAATTTGATGACCTTAATACAACCATAAAGAAAATTACTCCTTATAGACAAAGCAAATATCGGGTGATGGTCAAGAAAATTGCAGTTTGGGACGTATGATTTTAGAATTTGGGGTTAGGATTTAAGGATTTTGGTTTTGAGATTTAGGATTCGGGGTTTAGGATTTTGGATTTTAGGGTTTAGGGCTTGGGTTTTGGGTTTTAGAGTTTCGTGTTTTGGGTTTTAGAGTTTATGTTTTAGGGTTTCGGATTTGGAGTTTTAGGGTTTAGTGTTTCGGGTTTAGGATTTGGGGTTTAGAAGGTTTAGGGTTTTAGGGATTTGGGGTTTAGAAGGTTTAGGGTTTTAGGGTTTTTGATTTTAGGGTTTGGGTATTGAGGTTTAAGGTTTTGGGGTTTAGGATTGGAGGGTTAAGGTTTTGGGTTTTGGGATTTAGGGTTAAGGTTTGGGGTTTGAGGGTTTAGGATTTGGAGTTTTGGGTTTAGTACGAGAATATATTGTGAAAGAGAGAGAGCTAATCTTGTTTCTCCTTTTGTTTCAGAAACAGAAAAGTATATTTTTTTTACTTTTTATTTCTGCTCCAAATCTATTCCCTAACCGCTTTTCTGTTTCGGGGAACAATTACTAAATGGATTTTTGTTCTTTTTTTTGTTATGGGGAACAAAATAACAGAAAAATAGATAAACATAAACGTTACTAAACAGATCCTAAGCCTTTGGATTTCATCCACCTGTATCATTTTCACCCCAATCTTTTGTAATCTTGGTGTTAGTTTGAATGAAATTGGGCAAGAAATCTTTTACCGTAAGTCCAATTTTCCCCCAATGTCATGACTAAGTAAATAAACATAAGGATTTAAAAATTTTATTATGTTTGGCATTTCTTTAAAGGGATATGTGCACTAGAAGTACTAAAACCTAGGGGTGTGCAAAGGAATCGGGAACCACTTAGAACCGGATTGGAATCGACAGTTCTCGTGAGGATCGGTTTGGTTTCCGGTTCTAATTTACTAGAACCAATGAGTGCTTGTCCGGTTCTCGATTTTAGGCTCACCTGGACCGGACCGGTAATATATATTCGTATATATAATTTTTTAGAAAAATTTCAACAAAAAAAATAAAGAAAACATTTTTAGAAAAATGAAAACCATAAAATCCTCAATCTAAAGCTCGACTCTCAACTCCCATTAACTCACTCTTGTGCCTTTAATTGTTCATCGCCTCCCTCTCTCACTCTCGATTATCTCCATTTGCGTGAAATTTGGTGGGACCGGTTCCATGGACTCACTCGAGAACCGGATCAGTGGGTGGATCCATGAAACCAACTGATGGTTCCCGGTTCCAATTTCTTAGAACTGGTCTTTAGTAGGCGGTTCCCAGTTTCATGTCGGGAACCGTTCGCTTGGACCATGCTCACCCCTACTAAAACCTATTGCGAAAGTGTAATTGAATTCTAAAACTTTTAAAAAGAGCGTTCAAGTCATAAATTTTGTCAAATTAGTGCAATTGAGTATTTTTGTTAATTTCGTCCAACTTGGTTAAGGGAAAATATTGACGCGACTTTTTAAAAATATTTTCTCTCATACACGGCGAAGATATGGCTAAAACGACGTCGTTATGGTTCAAATGTATTTTTAACACAAATTTTATTTGAGTTCAATTTAAACAATAACCTAAAATTGAAAAAAAAAAGAGAGAGAGTTGGACCAAGCGACAAGGGTTTTGCAACTCTCGTCGCTACATGGGAAAGATAAAATATTAAAAAAAAGACACGTTAGTATTTTTAGTTAGTTAAGTTAGACGGAATTAACGGAAGGACTTCATTGCACCGATTGATAAATTTTAGAATTTGATTATATTTTTTATATATTTAAAAATTTAATTATATTTTCGTGACAAGTTTTAATTGCTTCGAAGCGAGGAATTAGCACGATGACTCTATCTAGAGATCTTGTAATAATTGGATGTCCATATGGGGGGTAATTTGGGAAGTCAGCTCCAAGGCTCGAAGACCGAGAATCTGACTCCCGGTCGGTCACTCTGTGCAACACTCTTGTCCCCTACCCCTCTCTCTCTCTCTCCCCACCATTTTTTCAAGCTCAGCTGCAGCTTCGTCCTCGTTGGTCGACCCACCTTGTGCAAAGGCATTCCTGCTCAGCCCTTACAGACCTGCCAGACTCTTCCCGCTCCCCTTCCTTCCCTTCGCCGGAAGCTCAAAAAAAATCTCAACTTTGATGCTTCCCCCAGCTCGCCACCAATCTTACTCCATTGATGCTGCGGAGCTCCGTCACTCTCCGGTGAGACGGCACAGGAGGAGCTGCAGAACCCCGGCGACGAAACCCTAAGACCCCACCTCCCGCCCCCTCCCTCCCTCCAAATCCAAGCGCCAAAGCCCTCCCGAGAACCCATCTTTCTTCAGAGCTCGAAAGCCTCCAGTTCCGCTCCAAAGTCCCCGTCTTTTCGGTGTCGCGAACCCCAGCACATTCTTTGACATCGCCCCCGCCCCCCCTCCTGTTGCTCATTCTTTGCTTCCCCCATAAAGAACACTCCACCCAGTTGTACCCTTTCTCCCGGCTTATCTCATCTTCTGCTCTGTGTTTTTTTTCCTAGCTCGCGAGCTAGAACCCCCCCAGAAATGCCTGTCACGGGACCTGCGTCGCTGTCTTCCTTCTCCACCCTTTTCGTCTTCTTGATTTTCGCCAATGTGGCTGTTCTCGTCACCCCCAAGTCCACCATCGAGCCCTGCTCGAACTCCAACTCTTGCAACGCCCTGCTCGGCTACACCCTCTACACCGACCTCAAAGTCTCCGAGGTCGCCTCTCTCTTCCAGATAGACCCCATCTCGCTCCTCACCGCGAATGCCATCGACATCTCGTACCCCGATGTCGAGAACCACATCCTCCCTTCGCAGCTCTTCCTCAAAGTCCCCATCACTTGCTCCTGCGTCGATGGAATCCGGAAATCCGTGTCGACCCGGTACAAAACCCGGCCCTCGGACACCCTCTCGCTGATTGCGGATTCCATATACTCCGGTCTGGTCTCCTCGGATCAAATAAGGGAGGCTAATTCGATATCGGACCCCTCGGTATTGGACGTGGGGCAGAACTTGGTGGTGCCGCTCCCCTGCACTTGCTTCAATGGGACCGATAACTCGTTGCCGGCAATTTATCTGTCCTACGTGGTGAAGCCGGTGGATACATTGGCAGGCATCGCATCCAAGTATTCCACTACAATTACGGATTTGATGAACGTGAATGCTATGGGGAGTTCGGCTATAGATGCCGGCGACATTCTTGCAGTTCCACTGCCAGGTAAATTGTTTGATTGATGAAATGTTGGCAAAATTGTTTCTTAGATGATGTTCCGTTTGTTATGGCTTAATGCTTTCTTCTACCGGAGGGTTGGAATTTGTATAATTAATCACCTTTAGCAGAATCCAAGGATTCGTGGATTTAAATGTGGGTGTTGCTTTACTTTTACAATATTTTGATGCTTTTCGTCCATGGAGTTCGTTTAAATTGCCGGCAAAGTCTGTGTGCTATTGTGTTTATAATAACTTGGTTCCACTGTTTACAAGAAAAAAAGTTTCTTTTACATGATGTGCGGATTCTTGGCTTTCCTCTAACGTTTATTTGGTGCCACTGGTTTTCAACCACAGTGCTTCTAAGTAGGGAACTTCTAATTTGAGCACAACCTTCTGCGTGAGTACTGTTGGACTTTGCGGGGTTAATGGCTTTGAAGAAGCTCGGTGCATATGCATCGGTGGAGTGGAATCATTCATATTAGGGCATATTGATTCTGGATAAGTTTTGCCTTTTCATTCAGTGAAGATTTCGTGATCAGATTGTATTGTCTGCGTTCTATTTTCTGCAATTATGCTTTGTAAAGCTGTTTAAATTGCATGTTTCTTCACCTTCATTTCCTCACTATTTTAAGGTAAACTCTTGCCAATTTGGTGATGAAAGCATCATTACTGCTAATCATATTTTGACTATGCTGGCGTTTTTGTTGCTTTCCTTTTGAAATGGACTTTAGGAAGGCCATGAGTTGGATGCTCACCTTGCTTCTTATGTCACAGCCTGTGCTTCTAATTTTCCAAGATACGCCTCAGATTACGGTCTAATTGTGCCTAATGGGAGCTATGCCATCACAGCAAGCCATTGTGTGCAGTGCAGTTGTGGGCCGGGAAATCTCAAGTAACAGATGTTCCTTCTTAAATCATTTAAAGCTTGTTAGCATGAATTGCCTTTGACAGTCCCCATTAAATTCCTGAAATCATCTTTCATTAACCATTGGCATTTTCTTACACAGATTGTACTGCATGCCTGCTTCACTAGCAGTTTCTTGTTCTAGCATGCAATGTCGAAACAGTAACTTGATGCTTGGAAATGTTACTGCTCAACAGAGCAGTGCTGGATGCAATGTCAGTGCGTGTAGCTATGGTGGTTTTGTCAATAGCTCGATCGTCACCACGTAGGGCTACTACTTCAGGCCTCTTTTGTATTCACTGTCATTTGGGGGTTGAAACTTGGAAGATCTGTATATGCTTTGAGCTGTAATGCACTTTTCTTTACCTTGCAGGTTGTCCGCATCTCTCCAACCGCGATGCCCAGGTTAATCTTGATTGTTGCTGTCATGTCATCGAGTTTCTATTTGGACCTAGGAAAGCTCTTGATCGAGTAAACTAGAAACAAAATAATAAATTATTGTGCTGGACTTACTTTCTGTGACTTTACTCTGGTCATGGGGGCATTGTAACTCTTGCTCTGAGCTTGAATGCCTCATCAATCGATAAATCACATGCTTAAAATTCTTCTTATTCAAAGTCAACATATCTGGTACTGGTAATATTGTTTGTGAATTTCGACCCAAAGAAAATATATTGGTTGTGACTGAGATTGTGATGTGTTATCATTGCCTTGAAACACATGCAGGAGTGCAGCAATTTCCTCCGCTTATAGCCCCACCTTCCTCGGTCATCAAAGATTCAACATTTGCTCCAGCACCCGCCCCGCAATCGGACGGTGCCATTTCACCCACGTCTTCGGTGGTGCCAAGTACAAGTTCGCTTCCAGGATTTAACCCTGCAAATGCTCCTGCTGGAAGTGCTTCGGGTGTCTCTGCTGCTCGCTCATTGATGAATCCTATCGACATTTTACCAGCTGTGGTGACATTGCTTTTGTTTGTCAAGTTGATGATCTTTCCTTCGTTGTGATTCCACTAGGGTGGCTACCACCAGACGGTGAGGGGTTTTGTTACATTGATGTTGCTATGGCCCGGTAAGATTGGTTTCCTCGTTTGTCTGCTGTATCTACGTGTTTCCTTTTCCTTTTTGGTGCCTTATTTATTATTCTATGGGATCAAACTTAATTTTTTTATGTGGAGACGTGAGACTCTTTCGGAGCAATTTGTATCTTTGATTCAGGGAAGGAACCTGTTTTTTTGCTAGCAGAACTTGTTATTTTCAATCCTTTTTCTCTTAATCGATTGACCTCAGTTGATGCATATTAGGTGAAAATGCAAAGAGCAGTCAGCAATTAAAGGCTGAGACAACAGAGATGGTGATAAACTTCTCGACCCTGTAACTCTTACCTATTTTTGGATGACATCCTTAGCACTGTGTATTTATGTCCTTGGCCATTCTGTTGAGGGTAATTTTGTAGCAGCAGGATCGGCTAGTCAGCTTCATTCTCGGCTAAAAATTATGTAGCTAGTCTTATTTCGTCACCCTCGCAGGCAATTCTTACAAATGCGCATTTTGAATACTTTCAAGTTAAATTCGGAGAAACCGATGGCAGCATTCGTCTTGTTAAATGCTTTCGCAGGACATAGAGAGGGAGATCTTCCCCTTACTACATGATCAAATGGCCTATTCTCAGCTAAATTTATCTGAAATGAGCAAACTTGGCCATAATTCGAATCCACTGTGATATTTATCATTTTCTGTGTAGTCCACAATCCTATATCTTGTGCATCCAACTCTCAAATTTAGGTTCTTATTTCGTTTTCAACGCCAAATGCCAAATTTGGAGCAAAAAGCGATTTCTCGAGAATGGATTTCGTTAAGGAGCGTCCCATGAGCACTCGCTCAATTAATGACCTTTAAAAAGAAAATGTATGTTTCCAAAGTACAATTAGTGACCTTCAACAAGTGTCCTAAAAGTACTCTTTAACGTTCCATCCATATATTCATTCCAAAACATAAGCAAACGGGCAGATTCATGAATCGCTGACTTGGCTGGTCGAAAAGTCATATTTTTGATCCTCTGGTAAGAAACCTCGATTAGCGTGTGAAGTACCGGATGGGGCTTAGGCGCATTGCCAGTGTTGAGCTTCTCCACTCACATAAGGTGGGTCCGTGGGACGAGCTCACCCAGTTTTTTGTCAGTACCTTGAACCGAATATTTCCAACATCACAGGCAAGTTCGATTGGAAGGAAGATGTCCATGCAAAATCGTATATAGGATTTGGCATATCCACGACGCAGTAGCTCATTTCCATGGATGTTAAACAATGAAGACTTAACGGGTTCAGCTCAAAAGAACCCTAACAATCCAGGGAGCAGAAGCTCATTTATCGGGTTCAACTCAAAGAACCCTAACAATCGGAGGCTGAAGACAGACCAATCACATCACACTATACACATGAAAACACATCAATAAACAATGGAGTGTTTCATACGTTCCAAAGACTGAGCGTTTTGAATACACATACTTACATCCAAGCTTACTTCAGGAGGATGTGGGAAGAATAATGGAAGCGGAAGCTATTTACATGAATTTACACTGACAAGATGCTGGCAGGACACACCGGCAACAATGCAGCATGACGGAATTATGTTTTACAATTTCTTCTTGTTCTTGCTGTAAAAGTGAGCAATCTTACAGAGCCCTCATAACGACTTTGCTGGTCGTGCAAACACCCGTTGCAGCTAGCTTCAGAACAGCACGACTGCGATACAACCTACAACAATGAACCCGACTTCATAATGTTAAAGAGGCTATCGCATGTTCAAGTTACTCGGACCACTTTCTTCTTCAACCCCCATTTCCATGCATCTACTATTGAAGTAACATTTTTCAAGCATAACATCTTCTATTTATTAAGCCAAAACCACTCTTTGTTTCACTTTTTCATTTCTCCCAAGATTGCCACCAACAACAACTATAAGAAAATGGATCTATTCCAAATTATCTCTGTATTAGATAATAAAAGGATAAAAAGGATACAATTATAACATTTCTCATAACTTCTCATTACATCAACTTCCTTATGGATGGAACTAGCCATTTTCTTATCATAGAAAATCAACCAACTTCATGCCCGTGCCCCCAGATGGGCCCGGACTTAACCGGCACATGGGGCTTGCAATGTTGCATGAGCCTCCAAATTGCCAGATCGCCCGCGCTCCGGGATTACAGAAAAAAAAATACAAATCTTCATGGATGCGTGTAGTGCGTGACCCTACACTAGTTTTAGATACTATTCTTGTTTTATGATTAGCAGAATTCACCCTTTAAGTATGATCAAATGTAATAGAAGCATAAGGGAAAGTAAAACACAAATAGTTAACTTTCAAATCTCATTGATTCTTGACTAGATGTAGCTCAAATGGCAAAGAGGATGATAACCAAGTCAACCCGCATCAAATTAGACTAAAAAAAGCTACCTACAAACGGCCTGAGAAACCAATTGATAGAAGCCCTACTATTAAAACAAGTGCGCCCGAGTATGAAAACAATATTTAGAGAATTACCAACGAAACTTCATCTGGGCAAAGTACACATTAATCACATGTCCATTGTAAGAAAATAAGCATCTTAAGTATGATCATTCCCAACAGCATTACTACAAGAGCTTCAAAGTTCCCTAATTCATGACAGGATCCTACTCAAGAACAACAATGGAAAACACAGAAAGATGCATATTCACTGATGTGACCACCCAGACAAGCGCACACAGTAACGCACCATGGCACATAAACTGACACGAAGAGAGAGAGAGAGAGAGAGAGAGAGAGAGAGAGAGAGAGAGAGAGAGAGAGAGAGAGAGAGAGAGAGAGAGAGAGAGAGATATACCCTGCAAGAGCAAGTCCCCAGGTGGCCAAAGTATAAAACAATGTTCCCGCATGCCATATACTTAAGACCTTCTCCATCTTGCTCACTCCACCTAATGCATTTGACAAAGCTGCAGTAAACGTCATTAGACATCAATTTCAGCGACCACGTAGATAACAACACTTTCGTGGCTGTAAAAGTACCCCATGGAGGAGATCTAAGTTGAAAACAACTTTAAATTCAATGTATCTGATTTAGGTTCAGAAGAACATGAGGTTTTCAGATTATCAAATAATTCTGGGAACACTGCTACAAGAAAGGACGTCTCAACATCACCCAATGGACTATACCATGCAAGCAAAGCCTTTCACTTGCTTTTATGAAGCTTATTAGTGATCTAATCTTTGAATATCCTCCACCAGCTTACGTATTCAGGTTGATTTGTTATCATATGTGGTTTAGTTGTACCGATAAGCAGCTACTGATGTTGGCAGAATATATACAGCAAATAGCATGTCAATTCTCTTCTTTGGTCAAAATGCATGTCCATAAGTACTTTCAAGTCTCAACTTCTTGCACCAGCTAGCTTAGCAGTAATATGCGATCATAAGGATTTGACCAAAAAGCACCCAATGCAATTGCTAAGATGGTCCGTGTCAGTCAGAAAATTCAGCTGGAAACTCACTATTTTGCAGCTCTTCTGGGGTCAAGTTCTGAACACACAAATAGAAATTAATGAGATACAATCCAAAATTATAAAAGTAAAATCGACCATACTCGAAACTGTCTTAAAGAGAATGTACCAGAGATTTTGGGTTTGACAATATGCATCTAGCCATAAAGTTGGCAACTCCATCCACCACGTGTTCCTCACTGATGACGACATACTTCTCGTCATCAATTCCGCTCCACTCTTCAACATTGCTCGGGACCATCTCATCTGTAACCCATACCCACCAACTGGGTTCTTCATGGCCAACATTAATTAGGAATTCAGCAGACTGCATATCAGCTCCTACTCAACAATCCAAAGTTCACAACCAGTTGATAACAAGGATAAAAAAAAAATCCCAGAAAAAAGCCACGCAAAGATCACTCGAAGAAAAAAGAAGCTTCTCGAAACCTGTGGCCTCCCTGAATGGAAATTCATTTCCGGCTCCATTAATTGATGCCTGCTGGAATTCTTTTATCCGATTCAGAAAGTCTTTTGAATCAACAGTTGTTACAAGGTGGGCATACAGCTGCAATCACATAACAAATCCCTCATATGGAGAAAAGAAAACCTTAAAACGTAAAAATTTGTGCAATCTCCAGAATGTCAAATGTACAGTACATAAATGCACTCACACACACGAATTTCTTCAACGAATTCAGCAAGAAAAACATAAAAGCGGACAACGTGCTTCTGCCGCTGCCAAGATGATTGCTTGCTCATAATATCATGATAGCTTAAGCACTCAGCATATAAGAGAGAAACAATCCGCGACATAACGAACTCGCAACTCCTAACGCAATCGCAATTGGCCGCGAATCACTCGCAACTTCAAGGGACGGAAAGGAAAATTCTCACAAACAGGGAGCTCCAAAAGATCAGCAAGAAACGAAGAGAAAGGGGCAAGCTTTTACGCACATCGGGAGGGCAATCGTTCAGCAGGCAAGGCAGTTCGGAGACATTCTGGAGCAGCTTCAGGTTCTGCTCCAGCAGGTTCCTCAGCCGCCGGTTCTCGCGTCGCAGCGACTCCAGTTCATCCTCCGAGGACGGCGAACTCGAGGCTTCGTGCTCGTGCTCGTGCTCGTGCTCGTGACCGTGGGGGTTGTGGTGGTGATGGTGGCACTCGATCGCCTTCCACGCCACGTCGGCGACCTCGATCACCGTCTTGGCCACCTCGATCGCGCCAGGTTTCCCCATCGATTGGATTCCGACGAAGCTCTTTCTAGGGTTTCCGTCGCGGGCTCGTGTCTGGTGAAAGGGGGAAAATGGTGATGATGCAGATGTGGAGATGGAGATGGAGATGTCGTCGCGTGTTTCGTTTCTGTGTTTTGCGTTCCTCGTGGCGCTTTCTTTTGGGACATCACAAACGCTTTATTTATGAAATTTGCCCCTACAGATTCCCAATTTGACCCGCATCAAACTTTTACTTTTAGCAATTCACCCCCCACGATTTCACAGTTGTTGGCAACCTTCTCCCCCGATTGCTTTGCCTATCAATTAAATCCCTCTCAGATTAACTTCAGTTGGTGAAACGTTTAAATGTAAATGGTAAAAGATTGAGATTGTGAAATTTCTTGGTCACTGGTCCTTGGACTTTGATTTCTTCGTATTTAATCTTCTTCTTTTTTTTTTTTTCGAAAAATGACATTCATGTAATGGAATAATGCTCGAGAGGTAGAAGGCTTTCAAGCCTAGCGAAGCCAAAATAACTATGAAACAAAGCAAATATCAGAAAGCAAATGACAAAGAACCACCTTCCAAAAAAAAAAAATGACAAGGTAAAATCTGCAACTAGAAGCACGTTTTCATCTTTCAAGAACAGATTTATGATCGGCAGTTGATCCCAAATTCACTGATGAACACACACCGACATATCTCGCTCCATTTGCAACGGCTCGCGGTGCAGTTCAACGTCCTCATTGCTATGCAGAGACACCAACGTGAAAATGTTGAAAGAACACATATCAAATACCTATAAGGAACTCCCAGCTCTATATCTATATCTAATTCAAGAGACTAAAACCCCAAAACTTAACCTAAATCTAAATCGGGAGAGTAGAGCAACCTAATTTCGAAGACATTGTGGAGTCACGGTATGAACATCCTCCTCGGTAGCCGTCGATTGGACGAATGATCGAACTCTATGATACCCAAGATCAACTGCATAAATTTATTCACATGCACAAACTCCTAAATCAGATTGTAAGAGAAAAGAAAGACCGAACGCTTCAAAAGAAAGAAGAGAGAGGGATAGAAGGTCTCGGGGATCGCACTGCGGAGAGGCGGCGGCGGCTTCGATGGAAATGAGAGGAAACTCTAATATAGGGAAAATAAAGGAAACACCGACCCTTGTGTATTTAATCATTCTAATGACCGAGTAAAACTTACCTTCTTTGCGTCCGTAATCTCATTGAGTTCCGATTTTGATGGACGACTTATTTCTAAATTGCAAAGATGGTCATTGTACTTTAATTTGGTTGCATCAACAGTAACAATGCTGTTTTCTCATTTCAATTGGAGTCATCGATCTTTCAAAACATCCGGTGTGATTTAAATCGGAAAAGATCAAAGTATATAAGTTACAAAGAAAGTGAGATTCATTCGCAACAAAAGTGAGAATTTCGAGTCCAACTAATTAAATGAAATATATACCGTGGAATATATATATATATATATATATATATATATAAATGATAAGATGCGAAATATTTTCTATGAACTCGTAAATGGTCATTTGTTATTATTTTGAATTCTTCTTACAAGCAGTAATGCTGATTTATGAAACAAGTATAGTTAGGAAGTGATTTATATTGACGAATATTACACGATATTGTATTCTGATTACCTTGATTCGGCCATGGATATTCTATATGGATTATGTTTTTAATTTCTATATCTTATCGTAACATTCGGACTTTAATTTTTATTTACGATCGAATGCGAAATACTTAAAACCTAATTAGTATTCTATATTTAAAACGACGCTTCGAAATTTAAGATGCTTTTTTGCCCGATTTATAAAGTAGGAGGAAAACTGATAACTACTTTTCTTTTAAGCCCGCTATCAATTGCTCTTGAATAAAAAGGTCGGGGTGTGCAAAAGAACCGGATCGGGGGGAATGCCCCGAACCGGCCGGTTTTAGACGGTTTCGATTAGAACCGGTGAGTACCGATCAGGTACTCATTTTCAGATGTATTTTTTTAATCTCTATGTTTTTAAAACCTTAATTCCTAATCCCAGCTCTCTCTGACGCTTCTACCCCGAGAGCTCCATCGATCCTCAGAGCCTTCCGTATTTTTCTGCGGCCGAGCTCCCCCCCATCGTGCCATGGTGGCGGCGACGATACTCCCGGGATCTCGGCACCGAGGTCCTAATCCCCGTATGTGCCGTCTTCGGCATCGTCTTCTCTCTTGTATAGTGGCTCCTCGTCCCCAAGGTCGAGCTCTCCTCCCCGGCGAGACCTCCGCTCCCGCGAACAACGGGTATGCCGATTACCTGATCTATAGGGAGGAGAACGTCAACGACCACGGCGTCGTCCTCAAATATGTCGAAGTCCAGAGCGCCGTCTTTGAATGTGAATTCTTTAATCTACCATTGCCCTTTGTCGGGTTCGCTTGCATCTGGTTTTTAGCGTGCGAGAATTTCTCTCGTCTCAGGTCTTTGATTAAATAACACTTTCTGTACATATCTGAAATACGAGACGGACCGAGTTCGGACCCATCTGGGAATCGGTTCTCGGGTCCAAAAAGTAGTGGGGCTCTTTCCGGATCCCGTTTTGTGAAACCGGCGGATCCGTTTGTGATATCGGATAATCCAACGTCGTCGTCTGTAATTTCGTTAAATTCAAGGCGTAATTTTTGATTTGGGACTTTATGTGCACTATGGTAAAATTTCGGGAAATTACATCAACTTTTTCGCTGTTGGAGAAACGTCCTCTTCAGGTAAAATCCGGGAATCGAAGCCGTGGATTCTTCTGCGGAGTCGGGCAAAGTTGACCATCATCATCCCCCCGCTCGTTCCGCTTTCTCTTTCGTTCGCGAGATTCTATAGCAGGCGTTCGAGGGACGGCGAATTGGTTTTGCTGCTCCACTTCTTCTCTCCGATTCCGATTCGTATTCGTCGTGTGAAATTCGCCGCGTCTTCGTCTTGGTCTCTGTCGCCGACGGGCCCTTGCTGTTTCAGACCCATCAAAGCTTCGTTCTTGGCGGCTGTTCTCTTTTGGGTGCCCGAGATATTTGCGTCTCTCAATTCTCTTCTGCGCCATTTGTGGTTTCAGAAGCATGGGCAGCGCGAACAAAACGCGGGGGCCAAATTGCTGGGCTGCTCAGGTGAGTGCTGTTGGCTCTGGCTTGTGTTCATAGCAAAATTGCTCGGGCATGAGTTTCTCTTCAGCGAATTTTGGAAGTGGTTTTTGTATTGACGGTTTTTGGGATCATCCCAGGTTGCCTTTCTTGATATCTTGTCTCGGGCAAGAGTCAATGGAGGCTGGTTAGTGCTGATTTTGATTTATGTGTATGCGATTCGATAGCCCAGTAAGTAGACATGGAACCAGAATATGACGGGTCCATTGTGTTTTTGGTCGGTTTTCTTAGGAAGGCAAGCCGAAACAAGGCAAAGGGCACACGTAATTAACGTCCTTTTCTTCAACTAAGCACAAAATGAAGGGAGTACGTTTTCCTTTGGATAATTAGATTAGCACTAGGAAATTATACGAAGATGGGTAGGGAGCTGAATTATAATTTGTAGCACCAAATTTTGCTCATTTACTTTTGCAATCGGTGGGAAGAGATGGCCTCATCTCTTTTTTCCAGGACATGCGTGCTAAAACGTGCCAGTTGCACTGTAATGGAGATGAGTAGGAGCAGCTGACCAATATGCAATGTCCATGTCCTTCCAGATGCGAAGGACATGAGAAGTGTCTTTTTTACCGAATGAAGAATAGAAATAATATGGTCTCCCAGCTGTCAATTGGGCTGATTGTTGCTGGGGAGGATATGCGTGGCCAGAAATCTCTTTTGGGATTGTCTTGTCGTAGATTTTAAGGATGATTTAATTAAACTTCGTTTCTAAATTTTTGTCACCTAATGTGTTTGTAAATCGTCGCAGGTCGGAAGTTTCAGTCTTCGACTTATTTGGCACTTTATACATTTTATTATCAGCACATGTTTCTTTGTGCTGGGATTAGCTGGTGCAGTTGATAGTTATCTTATCTCAAGTGGACTGTTGAAGAAATATAATGACCTTAATCTGGGGAAGCTCCGGTATCTGGCCATTGTGGTGGATAGTGATGAAGCTCGGAAAACTTCACAAGTTATTAAACTTCTGCAGTGGCTGTCTGATATTGGTGTGAAACACGTGTGCCTATATGATGAAGAAGGTGAAGATGCTGTTTTATTTTCCATTTGATGCTAGTGCGGTACAAAAAGTTTGTGATACTGTGGAAGTTACTCATGCTGTACCATTGACATATTTTTGGGAGGGTTTAGGGGTCCTGAAGAAATCTAAGGATGCTATCTTGGAGAAGTTGAGCCATATCAGATTATTTGAGGTACTAAATATGGCATATATTGTTCGACTTTGATACATCTGCATTTGGTATTGTGCAATATGCTCAGTAACAGAAACTCATTAACATACGTATTGCTATGTAAACTGAACGTTATTTGGTATATTAATTTGATTCAAGAGGGTTTGTGGCACTTATGTGGGTTAGGAGCATGAATGAACTGAATGGTATGTCTAAGACAGCCATATGTTAGTGTTCTGCTATCTGTTTTCTTTTGACTTTTACATATTTTTGGGTAATCCGAAATGATAGTAATCAACCTTTAAATTATAAAAAGTAGGTAAACTTTTATAGTTTATTCCCTTTTCATGATTTATCCAGCGTGAAAATTTTAGACCTTCTTAATGATATCATGCTCTCCTATCTGCAGGAAACTGATGAGATATCACCCCTTGACAAAAAAAACATGAACCTTGAACTTGCTTCACCATCTGATGGGAAGGAAGCCGTGGCAAAAGCTGCCAATTTGCTTTTTACAAAGCATTTGGAACTGAAAAATACCACAGAGGATCAGGGGGAGAATATCTTTACAGAAGCTAATATGACTGAGGCACTCAGAACTATTGGTTTGTGTTGCTGCTCACTTCATTCCAGGTTTAAAAATTTGAGTATTTTTTGAACTGGCATTTTTATATGAATGTGCACCTTTGATGCATATGTAGGTTGTAGTGGGCCAGAACCTGACCTCCTATTAGTTTATGGACCGGCAAGATGTCACTTAGGTTTCCCCCCATGGAGGCTCCGATATACAGAGATTGTGTGAGTTCTCAAATTATTCATTACCTCCCAGACTTGTACGTCTTTTTAGTGATATTCATGCTGTCTGGAGAAGCTCCCGAAATTGGAATTATGGATATATATTTTTCTTTTTTTTTTATATACAAAACAAGCATTTGTGCAGAAAATGACGATATAACAATTTGGGCTGGCCAAAGGGAAGATCGGGTGCGGAACACCCTTTCCTTTTCTCCCGCCTCGTAAAGAAAACTATTTACTATCTATACTCGTTGTTGCCTCAGGGATCAAGCCAAGCTCTACCATTTTCATATATTATAAGTGTGGTGGGGCCTGATCTGCCTCAGGGATCAAGCCAAGCCTACCCATTTGGGTTGAGGTACTGCTAAAGGGAGTGAGTTGAGAATGGAACAGGCTTATAGAAGTAGTTGAAAAGAGCTAGGTTAGACTTTGATTCCAGAATAGTTGTAATGTTAGTGGAATTACAGGATATGTTGGTACTTATACCTCAGGGAAGATAACTGGGAGAAAAGGCTCAATTTCCTCGGAGATCCACCAGATTAATCAATTACTTTTGGCCCGTCCCTCACGCCATTAGCAGTTTAGCAACTGCTGAATAAAAAAACCCTGGGGAGGAATCCCCTGCTGCTGTGGCTGTCCCTGCATGACATCCTTAGCTGCATTTTGTAGTCAATCAATCACTGGCTAATGAAATGCAGCCTGACATTGTTTCTTGTGTTAAGGCTGAATCTACTACGCAACAAAAAGTTATTTCATTTGCCAGTGAAGCAACAGTATTTGTATCTTCTCTCGGAACTTAAAATAGAATTATTAGAGGCCCATAGCTTCTGAAGTAACAAAATATCCTTCTGCTGGACCTTTGACTGTGTCATCAGTGTTCTTTTCCTTTGATTTTCTTTCTAGGGTTGTCCCTCTTTTTCCAATAAGGGTTTAACTCATTGACTGCTGATGAAGTTGATACAACACTGTTTCTAATCTTAATTATCAGAATGTGCTGATCTTCTGTTACTAAAGGGGGCCTCATGACCCAACGTAAGTTCTGTAACCTGAATTTAATGCCTGTGACGAGCGACAATTAGACTTAACCTCAAAATCTATGTCCTTCAGTTGTGTGAGTTTTTTTTTTGGTTTTTATTTATTTCTTGTAACTTTTGACAGTGCTTATGGTGCCTTGGACGCGAAATAATTCTCAAGAGTTGACTGATATTTCTAGTTTTGAAATCTTTTGGAATTGGATGCTCTATATCTGCAGTATATATGGTCATATTGATGGGAATAATTGTTAGGACGGTCTTCATTACATGGTTTTCTTTTTGCCACATAAAGTTTGGTATACAACCCGTTTTTTTTTCTTTTCACGGGATACATGGGACATATCGAATGCTCTTCCTTTGATTTATTGGTCTGGTACTGTGAAGTGGTCCTTTTGCTTGCTCTTTTTTTCCCCACTAAACTGTATAGTTTTCTCTTATTGCAGACACATGGGATCCTTGAAATCCATGAAACATGGTTTGCTAATGAAGGCTATTTACAAATTCACATTGGTTCGCCAAAATTATGGTATGGGATGAGCGTATTTTAAGACATTTCTTTGAAATTGAAAACTGCAACCAAAGAGAGTCTAATCTACTGCCACCAACCCATTCTAGTGTCCTGTTACCTCTGTTCTGATCGTTCGATGAAATTCATTTCCGTTGTTCTTTACCACTCAAGATTACTATCCAGAGATAACTTTTTGGTTGGAATTTCAAGCTACTGTCAATGACCGTTTGGCTGACAATTTTTCTGTTGCTTATTATAACAGGTAAATGAGACTGTCTTCGAGAAGATCAAGATCTGGACAAGGCAAGCGGCGATGTATAATTGGGAACAACATTGTTTCACCATATTCAAAGATTGAATAGGTATATTCTGTACGAGCACTGAATGTATACTGGAATCTCAGGGAAGAAAATCTGGTCCGTTTTCCTTATATCGTCAGCTTGATCGAAGTCGGAATCATGATTATGGGGCTTCAACTTCTCGGAGTTTCTCGAATGGGACCCGAGTTCTCCCCCATTTACATTTCGTTGTGTATCTGTAACTGTCAGGCACAGTTAGTGAGTGAATAAGTTTTGATCTCTTTTCTTCCAACAGAGTCCATAGATTTTCTCTGCTCGAATCAAACGTACATCGGTTCCAAAAACATTATTCCACATAAAATCGAGAGAGCATCTTCATTAGTTTATTGGTTATACATGCCAGGCTTCAACACAAAAAAGAAAGGATCGTGTTGAATGCTACATATTCAAATTCCTATCTTGTTGTGGGAGAGAGAGAGAGTTGTACAGACAAATGTTGTCCGACATGAGATATTCGCGTGTCGGTAGTATTTGAAGAGTCCTCTTGGTCTTGGAGACGATTGTTTCCCGAAATCCTCGGTATCTCAACTTGCTTATGGACTTTATGCTCTCCGTTGCTTGACCTAACATCAGTGATCGGCAGTTCGGAGGTCGGAACTTTCTCATCCAGCATCAATGGCGTCGACTCAGTTTGATGGTCTTTGCTCTTACCCCACACCACGGTGTAAAGACCGACCACGATGAAAATTGCCCCGATGATGCTGGATCAAAGGGAACATACAATACAAGTAACTTAGTAAACGCGATCAAAGGGAACATACAATATAAGTCGCTCAGTAAACGCGATCAAAGGGAACATACAATATAAGTCGCTCAGTAAACGCAATTTCCATTGTTTACGCTGAAACCCTGATGCGAGAAAGCGGGTGTTTTCGTACCTTCCAAGGTGAATCTTCTCGGCTAACACGATGGCGCCAAGAGCAGCGGTGATAATCATGCTGAGCGGGCTAAAACACGTGACGAACACCGGCCCTCGCTCCTTGATCACTACTCCTTGCACGTAATATGCTATTCCAGAGCAAACCACGCCCTAGAATATTTTCCAAGAACATTAATATTTGGGGAAGAGTCTCACAATGCAAGAAGACTCTCGACTCTCTTAGGACAAGCGACGCATCGAGTTTAATTTTACTCACGGAATAAACAGCGGCGAGCAGCCTAGAGTCCCAGCTGATTTGCCAGACGCTCATGTCGCGCTCCATCACGAGCGAAACTGCCGCGCCTTCCACGGATCCCATCAAGCATATAAGTGCTGTCAGTGAGAGCTCTGCTGGGTACTTCTTCAACGTAAATGACTGTACCACAACATCGCAATTACCTTAGAAGCTAGCTTTTCCTTAAACTCTGATATAGCTTAAGCTCATTGAAAAACAAATTTGCTAATATGACCTATAAAAACTTGCGAATGTTACCTGCAATATGAAGAAGCCGGACCAACCGCAGCAACTGGCAAGGAGCATGAGCGTGCCGGTGACCCAATGCTGGTCAGCCGACCCGTTGGGGGTGCTGCCACCTGCGTGGTGGTGGCTTGTTCCACCCGACCGTATAATGTCGATGATGGGGCCTTTGTACAGCGTCATCACCATTGCTCCGGCAACAGTCACCGCTGTCCCGATCACTTTAGCTAGGCTCTGAATCTTCTTCACGTTCACCTTCTCTAACCTTCAAAAGAAAAAAAAAGCAGCAATTACAACATTATTTTCTATAATGAGATCCCACGTTTTGATTCGTTTAATTGACCCGTGAGCCACACGCATGAAAATGTTTGTTCTCTATCTTCAAGTGAGTAAATTGAAATTACAATTTTACAAGAACAAAATGATCAATATTAGACAGTCAAGATTGATTTCAGAAACTGATCTGCCAATTCTGCACTTGTTACAATCAAGAATGGTTTTCAGAAGTTAATTCTAGAGCACCTTCAAAAGCATCGGCCCCCACACGCGCACATAATTTTTGAACCGACATACTATTAATATTATTATTCGCTACCGCATGGACGAGCCATGTATCCCGACACACGTGTTATTCCTCGGAGCCTTTCATAAGTTTCGATGCAAGTGATGCAATGATCCACTAGTTTTCAGTATCATAGTAGCCACTAGTTATTGTGGGTGGAATATTCATCTGTGCCGCGATAATCCACCCGACAGAGAAGAAAATGATGGACACATACCATTCATGGTTTTGTAATGATATGTATCGATACCTATGATATTTGTCGGACTCACCGCCAATAGGCCAGTTTTCATTTTCTCAGCAGTGTTTTCCATAACCGAGAATGTCGATCATACCTGAAGGCGAGTGCCATGATGAATGTGACGGCGGGGAGGACATTAACGGTGGCTGATGCGAAAGTTGCAGACGTCGACTTCATCCCCACGTAGTATAAGTTCTGATCCAACACCGGCCTTGGAAACAAAAAAGCAAGCATCAGATCCCAGAAAAGCTGACTCCCTCAAGAATCGAAAGCTGACGTGATTTCTGTTATTATGAACTAACATAATGATGATAAATGCTGATTAATGAAGTTAAATGTCATCTGTCACATCTCATCCGACCTCGCTGTTGCTCAATATTGTCAATCATCTTGGTATTCATGGACTTCACATGTATATGCTACCCAACACCGTGATGTGTTTTGTTTATTTAGGCTCCGTTCATTTTACGAAAAATATTGTGCTTCCGAAAAATATTTTTTAAGAAGCTATTTTCCTGGAAAATGACACAATTTTCCAGTGTTCCACTAAAATCTGAAAAAGTCTCGGAAAATATTTTCCTTCATACATTATTTTTAATAATTTTTTTTGTATTTTGTCCTCTGCCGGTTGCCGGCCATGGCGACAGCTGGTGACCGGCCACAGGCGAGGCTCGGCCTCGCTCGACCAAGGCTGGCGAGGCTCGGCCTCGCTCGACCAAGGCTGGCGAGGCTCGCCGTGGCCGGCGACCGACCTCGGGCAAGCGAGGCCTCGCCTTGCCTTGCCTCGCTAGATCTGGCAAGGCTCGGCCTCGCCTCGCCGGTCTCAAGCTCGGCCGAGCATCATCGGATCGAGCGAGGCGAGGCGAGGCTAGGCTCGGCCTTGCTCGAGCTCGCCGGCCATGGGACGAGAGGACGAGCAAGGCAGCAGTAGGGGAGGAGCAGACGAAGCGTGAGGCAGCAGAGGAGGAGGAGCGTCTTTGTAGATGAAAACCTCTGTCGGTTGCGTGAGAACGACGGTGAAAAGGAGAGAGAAGAGGAGAGGACAGGAAGATTGGAAAATGATTTCCTTTCCTGAAGGAAAGGAAACTATTTTCCTCAGTTTTCAAAGGAACTTTTCCATTGATCGGAAAATATTTGCCTCGACCACTCAATAACGGAGCCTTAGTGTTGTGTAATACTTCAAAACCACTTAGTTTTTTTCTTTCGTTTTAGCTTTTGGGTGATGGGGGTGGGAAAGGGGAGAGCATTACTCAAGGAAACCAAGCACCATTATCCTCAGAAAGATTGGGAGGGTCAGCTTCGGCCTTATTTTCCTGCCACCAAAAGGTACCAACACACACAAACAAAGTCAAGTACAGATGAGTCTGACATGTTTGAGCAAGGACAGATCTCAGAGAGAGAGAGAGAGAGAGAGAGAGAGAGAGAGAGAGAGAGAGAGAGAGAGAGAGAGAGAGAGAGAGAGAGAGAGAGAGAGAGAGAGAGAGAGAGAGAGAGAGAGTAAGAACCTTTCGAGGACAAAGGCAAAAGGGGCGATCAGTAGGGTCGCGACAACATGGCGATACACGGCCAAAATGTAGTGACTCATGCCGTGGTTGAGAGAGACGAGGGTGATTATGTACATCCCGGCATACCCGAACTGCAGCGACACCATTGCCAAGTATGGCTTCACCTTCTTCATCCCAGACCAAAATGCCCCTCTCTCTCCCATCTCTCTCTCCCTCTCTCTCTCTCTCTGTCTCTGTCTCTCTCTCTCTGTCTCTGTCTCTCTCTCTCTCTCTCTCTAAGTACTTCCTCTATGCGGGTTTGTATAGTTTATGCATTGATTGGAAACACGGGCCTTCTTATAGACAAGTAAAGCAGCACAACAATGAGAGAGAGAGAGAGAGAGAGAGTCATTTTCTCACCCACACATTATCCATGCATGTCCAAGAGAGCACTCCCTCTCACTCCTTTTTTTGGGTGTTTGATAACAATTAGCCAAAAAGAAAAAAAAGTTACCTGTCAAGAACCGGGATGATTAACTCTCGCTAACCATACTCAGTTCTTTATTTTCATTCACTTTCGTATCTCAGACTTAATAACATTTCAGAAAACATTCTAATACCGTACAAATCATGTAAGTTACGTTTTACGGAATATTTAAAATTTGAATCATTAGATTTCCTAAATCGAACGTAGATAGTACCATTTTATTCTCTCACGGAACATCCATGCATGTCAAATCGCACTCACTCTCACTATTCTCTCTCTCTCTCTCTCTGGTTGGAGATTCCATTACCCATGAACTTGAAACACCCACTTCCCAATCACTTGGAATCTCTTTCCCTTTGGCGATAGAATCAAAAGACACCAAGAGGAGTGGGATTCGCGTAGGTCTCTCAACAACTGTGTAAGCTCAATGCCTCCATGTCTATCCTATTCATCTCCTGTAACTAAAGGGTTTGAATGGAATTGACCGGCTAATGAGAGCAAAGCTTGGTGTTTTCCCATGATGCAAGCAAATTCGAGAGTCGTGTGGCGTTTGCAGAAGAACAGCTGCAGTGATAGGCGGTAGGAATATCGGGTGGAAGACACCATTTCCTAAAGATATTGGATGGTGAATGAAAAGAGAATATACCATCCTTGATTGGGGGATTAGCTTAGTGGGTTTACAGAAAATTTCGGCCTAAATCCAGTGAAAAAGCTAAAGATTTGAGTGACTTGGAAACTTGTCTAACTTTGTAATGTTTTCCGATGCCGCAAAAAAAAACATGCAGCGTGTGGGAAACATGAGGCAAAGAGTATACGTAAGTGAATTTACATGGTATGCTTACTCATGCTCCATTTCATCAGAAGATGCAACCAGCACTAGTTGAAGATTAACATAGATACACGTGTGCGTATGGTAGACAGCTTGGATTGTAATCGACTCGAGCTAAAGAGTCAACTATACTTTAATGCCAAAAATAAAACTTACATGTTGTTGATGAAATTCACTAATAATGCATCTATTTGATGAGTTACAAATTATGAACATCACCCACAAGTAAACTTAACTTAATATAAACGTAGGTAATGTCCTTTGCAACCTGTCAAATAGAAGAGTGGGGTGGAGGAAAGGGATAGAGGAAAACATTGACCTGAATTGCCTGGTAATGAAAATTTACGTGCAATATTAGCCATTCACTACCAAAAAACACAACGTAATGCAGTACACAGAACAGAACAATACTGCAACTTCACATATGTACCATCGATTTTTCCCCTTTATGGATTGAAACAATCGATAAATTGTTATGTTCGCTAGTAAGCAACATATTGCGATTCAATTAAGTGAGTTAATTTCTTTTTACTGGAATGCAGATGATCAAATCCAATTTTGGGTAATAATAACCTCCTATTCCTTCAGATAAGACCGCAAAAAACCCGTTTAATCAAAGACTAGTTGATCTTCTCAATCCTTTTCAAAGAAGTCATGTTCTTTCCAACCACTACTAAATCCATCAATTAAAGCAATATCAGTATGTTCTATCAACAATCAAGTAAAAAGAAGGAAGACAAAGCATACAAAATCTGGCAGCTCTCGCATCAGAAGTGAATAATTCTTTGTCACCCTCTTTTTTCCAAAACTAAAGCTGGCTTTACGCTCTCACGTTGAGTTACGCTACCTAGACATCATCGTAGTCGATCTCAAAGCATATCTTCTCTCTCTCTTTTTAAGGCCAAGTCAGTTTCAAGCATTTCAATCGACTCAAAGATGGAATAAACATCAACTCGGATTTGGCAACTGCCCAAACAAAGAAAATCTAATTCTTGCCCTCCATTCACAATGTCGTCATAGCCATCTTCCGAATCTCTCGAATATAATTGAGTCCCTACACCTTAAAATTAATATATTTGCGACCTTAATAACATTCGATAATAGTTAATCAAGCTAAGATCTGAACTCTTCATCATATTCTAAAGGATATTTTAACAGAGGAATCTCGAAGTCCTTATAAAGAAATAATTATTGGTAGATTTTTCTTTTTCCTCTTCACGAGTTACAAACACATGGGAGGACAAAGGCCACGAATCGTTGTGGGTGCTTTTCGAATTAGGATTCCAATATGAGAAATTATAGCTGGGTTGGCGGATTCCCATTTCCACAATATTATAAAATTTATGGGAACCACCTGAGAAAAAGTTATGCCATTTTATAAAAATAAGGGTATGGATACTAGGCTGCTAGGCAAGCTTTTAAAAGAATTTTTTGTTTATTATTTTATTTTTCTTCCTTTTGATAGATTTGGCTGTAGACGGAAAGAATATGTGGTCGATAATTCTAGAAAAAGAAGAAGGATTAGCGGGTAAAATCAATAATAAATATATGTCATTGCTTGTCATCATTGTCACCCATCAACGGAGAACATATGCATAAGCACACGATTGGTCGACTCGCATCGATTGGAGTTTTGGGAGTCAGATTTGCTCGGTGGACAAAAAAAACCTAATCAAGCGGAGAGGCGGGCTCGACGCCATCGGAATCATGGAGGCGAGCACTTGAACATCATGTGATTAATGTCAATCTTAGATAGCTACATTAACTTTTCAAAACTACTATAATCATTAATTGCTACACGCGTGGATTCTTCTACGAATAGAGCGAAGTGGATTGCAATGTCCAATCAAGGTTGACATAGGTTACATCATGCAACAACATGAACAGGATAATAGAGAAAGGTTGACAAAACTCATCAGCACAAACTGGAGACAGGATGCACCAAATTAGACGGGCACGAGGTGGCCGTCGAGCGGTTTCAAATTCGTGCAAAGTTGGGGGAGAGAATTAGAACCCTATTCTTCAGTCCCCACCATGATCGACAGTGCTTGCTGAGGAGGATCCGTGTGATCGATTTCGATGAGCATTTTTCAACGCGCAAAAACTTTCTTTTTGTTGGAGTTATCCCAAATCGGTTGTGGATAGAGCAGGTGATCGGTTTATAAATATAAGGAAAAGTCTCACCCTTTGAGCTAATTTAGCTTTTGGAGCGAGGGAGGCCTAATAGCACTCACAACTAATATAAGAGCCCAGGTCACTAATAAATTTGGACCCAAGAGTCACTCAGAGAAGGTTGTCGGTGTGAGGGGACGATTATTGGAGTTATGCCACGTCACTTGTGGAAGGGGCAGGTGGTTAGTTTATAAGAGTGAGAGAGGCCCAAAATCACCCAATATTTTTTCTCTATTATTAAAGTAGGAGCAAGAGGGTTTTGATTGAGAGATTGAGATAATTACTAACCAGAAATGGCACCAATGTCGTACCAAGTTGGTGTCCTATCAATAGAATATTCTGGACTCACGTTAGAACATCATCAAATCAGACAAAGATGGAACATGTTCCATCTTCAATTCGCAATCCAAATGGTATATGATGTTGGATGCTTAAAGTCCACCAGATTTTGTCTACTTTGTATTGTAGTTGTATCCACAGACAAGTAGACTCACGGAGTCACGAGTATTTAGCGGATGGTTTCTTTTATATTGGGAAAAGTGCCAAAAAAGTCCTAAACTTTTTGTATTGATGATAATTTAGTCCTAAACCTTTTTTTGGTGCCAATTCAGTCCTAAACCTTTTGTATTGGTGCAAATTTAGTCCTAAACCTTTTTTCGGTGCCAATTCAGTTCTAAGCCTTTTACATTGGTGCCAATTCAGTTTTTCCGATCAATTTTGGTAGGATTTTGCTGACGTGGACGCCGGCCGGTCACCAGTGCTGACGTGGACAACTTTTGATAATATTTTAATATTTTTTGAATTTTTATTTATTCTTTTATTTTATTTTTTTTCCACCCTCTTCCAATCGCCGGACCGGCGACCGGCCAGAGGCTAGAGGCTGGCGAGGTCGACCTCGCCGGCAGTTGGGCGAGGCACGACCTCGCCAGATTTGGTGAGGTCCAGCCTCGCCCAACCATGGCGAGGCTCGCCTTCGTTGTCGCCGGCGAGGGCGAGCCTCGCTGGCCTTTGGCTGGTCGCCAGTCCGGCGACTGGCTAGAGGAAGGAGGGAGGGGAGGGAAAAAAAAATGAAAATTCAAAAAAAATATTATTAAAAATTGTCCACGTTAGTGCCGGTGATCGCCCGACGTCCATGTCAGCAAAATCCGGCCAAAATTAGCCGGAAGGACTGACTGAATTGGCACAAATACACAAGGTTTAGGACTGAATTGAAACCAAAAAAAGGTTTAGGACTAAATTGACACCAATGCAAAAGGTTTAGGACTGAATTGGCACCAAAAAAAGGTTTAAGACTAAATTGGCACAAATGCAAAAAGTTTAGGACTTTTTTGGTACTTTTCCCCTTTTATACTTGTTTAAAAGTTGATAATTTCGCATAAGAGTTAAGTTATGTCAACGACAGTTTGAAAGTTATTAGAAATGTTCGGTGATTCAAAATTAGATCAAAGAAAACATCAGCAAGAGACGCAAATAAGAGTTCGTAACCTTGAATTTATTGCAACTTCATCGGAAAAATTCGGAGTCCCTTAAACTAGAGCTACGTCTAGTTGATGATTTCATTATAATTAGCATCTTTGACCTCTTAGTTACATCCCTCAATTACAAGAGAAAGATAATATATATATGTAATAATTTGATTCAAAATAGGAAATCTCTTTCTAGGAAACCTACTCCAATTAGGAAACCATTCAATTAGGAAATCCTGTCGCTAGGGAGTATGAATCACACCCCAACAAATTAACTCAAATAATGTTGGTAGCTTCAATAAAAAATGGGTAAGCTATTAGAAAAGTTGGTAATTCAGACACAACCTTGGGTAAATGGCTCAAAAATAAGATTTCATGACCTCAAACTAATTGGCAATCTTATCGAGGAAAAAATTGAGTAAACAATTTAAATAAAGTTGGTAATTTCTTATAAAAGTTGATAACTTCAGTAAAAGTGGGTCAAGTATTAGAAAATTCGGTATTTCCAACTTAAATGAACATTGTTGTTCGTAACTTGTAATAAACATAGTTAAATGGCTCAAAAAAGAATTAGTAACCTAAAAGTAGCCGGTAAATTTATTGGAAAAAAAGTTAGTAAGTAACCTAAGTAAAGTTGGGAATTTCATATCAAAGTGGCCAACTTCAACAAAAGTGTGTAATTAAGTTAATTAGAAAAGTTGATGATTAAAATCAATTGAAAGTATTGGTAAATGTTCTTGATTAGAGTTGGTAATCTAAAACTAGTTGGTAACTACATTGGCAAAAAGGTTGGAAATAAACTTAAATAAAATCAATAATTGGAATAAGAGTTGGTAACTTCAGAAAAGTTGGTACGTTATTTGAAAAGTTGATAAATTGGAATAGATCAAATAAATACTAATGAGTGGCTCGAATGAGAGTTAGTAACATAAAATTAGTAAGTAATCTCATTCGGAAAAAGTTGGTAAATCACATAAGTTAAGATTGTTAATTTCATATTAAAAGTTGGTAACTTTAACATGTTAGTAAGCTAGACCGATAGAAGTGAGTAATTCATTTTGAACTCTCAAAATAAGTGTTAGTAATTTAAACTAAGAGTTGGGAACTCATAAATTTATCAAGACAGAAACTTACTCCCTTTTTTTCTCCCAAATGGATTGATTGAATAGTCCTTCTTATGCAAAAAAGGGTATGCTAAGGTAATAATATATGCGTATGAACATAAATAATGGAGGTTGACGTAATATATGTCCTTGGAATAGTGTATTTGCTTTTCGAGTTTTAGACAACTCGTGACACATGCATGTTTTCTTTGATGCATGACATACGTGACTCTTAGAGAGTTTATTTGTCACTCATATTTAATGAACTTAGAACACTGTAATCTGAGGATTACGCGAGGAAGAAAATGAAGTAAACGCAACTCTAGAGCTCGAGATTACTGCTAAGACAGAGATATGTAATAACGACGACCGTATTAAACTAAGCAAATCCTGCCAGCAAAACCTCCTATATGTGACGACACGTACCAACATAACATCATTTTAATATACTCAACATGGACCAAGCGTCAATGAATGAAAAACAAAGGTGCGGTTGTTCTACCATTGTGAATTACATCATTAACTATTAGTAACCTGGGCTCTAATGCTATTTGTTGGGAGCGCCTAGAAAAAGTTCAATACCTTCGCCCGGGGAATCGCCAAGAAAGAGTTCAAGTCTGTGCCCGTCAACATATTCAGTTGAAATCACCTTTGCTCAAAAACTTAAAACAATAAGTTAAAAGCTTAAGACAATAAGTTATTGACCAATTATGATGTATTAACTATTCTACACCACATCAATTCTCCAATATGAGACTTTCTAACACAACTTACACGTGTATCCGAACAATCTCCCTCTCACGTATGAGTTCAATGTTGAGTCTGCTTCCCCTTAATTTAGATATCTTTTTGCATCAACATATCTAAACTTGAATCTCCATCAACACCCACCTTCATCCCTAGTCTTTTTCTTCAAACCGAACCATGAGGATTGCCATCGAGACCGCGTTGCTACACCACAACGCCCATCACCCCGGAAATCGCGTTGGTCAACAAATTCATTCCTTAAGATATTCACCAAACATCAGAACAGATTAGGGGCCTACCAATATACCATAGGCTCTGATACCATTTGTCGGAAGCATACAGCAAAAGTCCAATACCTTCATCCGGGGAGATTGTAAAGGGAGAGCAAAGTCTTAGTCCGTCAATATATCCAGTTGGATCCACATTCACTCAAAAATTTAAGCCAATGAGTTATGGGCCAACTAGGATGTATTAATTGCTTCACACCCTTTCACCGGGGGAGATCGCCAAGAGAAATTGCAAGTTCAAGAGTAAACCTAACACTGAGCTCACACGTGAGAAAATAAGATTTTGGAATACATGTGTGAGTTGTGTTAAAAGTCCTAAATCGGAAAATTGGTATGGCGTGGAGCAGTTAATACATATAATTAATTGAGTTAAGTTTTTAAGTGAATGTGGATTAAACTTGATATGTTGACGGGCTCAGACTTGGGTTCTTCCTTTATGATCTCTCCAGATGAAGGTATCGGACTTCTACTGCGCGCTCCCCATATTAATTTACCAAATGAATGATTGAAAAGAAATCAAACCTAACTTCCTATTTTGTATGTGTGCTTGTGCATGCATATCAGTGAGATGCATAATTAATAGTCTCACGGAGATGTCAATTGCTCATAAATTTTTCTCAAAAAGTTCCAATCGATGAAATGAAAATGCATGCTCCACCAAATGTGGGGGTGGGGACTAGTCTAGTAGCAACAGTCGATCCAGATATACTTGTTTTTTGTAAAGAAAATCGTCATTAAATCAAGATTAATCATGCAAAGGTGCAACTAGCTTCCTACCCAACTTTTCGACCCTAATTTCTGAGCAAAATATCTTGCAAAAAGCTAGCAAATAAGAGGACAGACTGGCCCTTATTGGTGATTGATTAAGAACTTTTGATTATCTTTTCATATTAATCACAAAAAACAAAGAAGAAAACGATCCTTGTAAAAGGACAGCAATATCATGGGCTCTGTCTTCCAATGACAGCAGGGCAAAAGGGGGATCTAAAGCAGGATAAGCTTCGGTCAAAATGATCTTTGCGTGCCTTTAGGAGGATCGAGACTTGCGAGTGAGGAATCATAAAGCAAGATTCACTTGTGTATATGCTACATGCATGCATGAGAAATAAAAAAGATCAATTATTGAACACGGGCAGATATATAAAAATAAGAGCAGGTTCTGCAATCGCGACATTTCAGCATAAAGGAGAAGATGATGAGATGAGATGAGGTTTCCATGGTCAGGAAGAGAAGGAAAAGAATTGAGGAAAGGTCTCATTTTATATGGAAAAAAATGAGTCTGTTGCATGCATCATATAGTGTTTCAGATCCATGGGCAAAGTATCTACCTTTCTTTTGCTTTGCTTTTTGCTTTGATAATTGATTGAAGAGCCTCTGGAAAACATCTTCCAGAAAAGTTGGACAGCGTAACATGTCATTTTTTTGGCTTACAAGCTCGCATGTTAGTGACTATTTTTCTTGATGCTATGCCAAAAGTGAGATCGGGCCAACTCCGGAACATCGTGTCGGGTTCTGCCTTCAAGATCTGATAAGGAGAAGACAGACAATTTACGCCCGGATCGGTAGATTTACAAGAAATCAATTTCTTGTGACTTAGCCCAAAGAAAATTATGTTGTATTAACTGGACCAATGCCTCTGCTTTTAACCGGTCGTATGAGGTGGTCCCTTTCCAGTGTAAAGCATGAAAGAAGAAAGAGAAAAAGATGGTGAGACGGACGATGGATTCCACTTTTTCGTCAAAAGAACGATATCGATGTTAGTTGACAATGCTGGACCGTCGATATCGACGTTAGTAAATGTTGTGATGACCGGAACTTTCTCTCAACTTGTGATGACACAAGCTTCAATGTCGTTTTTCCGAGTGACTTTCTGTGTTGTCCTAAAAACTCAGAGGAGCTAAAAGCAAGGCGCCTTCTACACGACAGGAAAAACAAGGCAAAGCCTTGCCTAGATCTTTATTTAGATGAACTGGGTTAATCACAGTCGTTCATCTTGATCACGTAAGTCACAGTGAAAATCCCACGAAATCCAGTGGCTGAGTGTGTGCCGAGTCCATGCAACACTTTTCCCAAAACAGGGAGCCCTAGGCCATCTAAATTGCAATACCCCAACTCAGAGGAGAACAAGAATCCTCGCGCCATCGGGGGCATCATGTCGATGACATGAAATTACTCGTGTTGAATATTGACCTGTGAAAGGAAATGATAGGAGGACGAAAAGAAAGCTGGTCATTGTTTCAACGTGTTACTGTTCTTATTCCTTGGGTGATCTAAGATAGGAGTACAGGATGCGGAGACAGAAGCCTTCACATATATGCTATAGAGTATAGAGTGTAATTCATAGAATAGTCTTCCAAAATTCTATTTAACATACATATTGTTTATGCGAGAGGTATGACTGCCGTCCTGCATTGGCAAGGGGCAACACACCTAAAAAGTACCAGGATTGAATTAAGGAAACAAAACATCTTCAGACTGAAATCTTGACCCAGCAAGAACATATTGCAAAATCTAACATAATGTGTAGCACAGAAAGGAGTATAAGGTTTACGAACTGAATAAATATTTAGGCAACCGATGTTAGAATGTGTACCGCTCTGTCGAGGGGCGTAGCTTATAGTAAAGCACAGAAATTAAGCATCATTGAGGATCAGCAAAGGAATAAGACCTGTGAAACAGATTGTGCAAATCTCATTGTTTCAGTGCAGTGGCTATTTTCTTTTGGATGAGCTCCACTCCAAGGCGAGGAGACAATCTTGGCAAAATTTCCTAAAGCACAGAATTCAGTTAGATATGTCCAGGAAATGCAATGTAAACTTTAGAACCCAAGCAAACAAACCAATCAGGTTTGGTTGATTTAGAGGACATTTTAGAAGGCTTCTTGCAAATTAGGCAAATGATAAAGGCACAATTAAAGATTTTTGAGCGAAGCAAGTTCAGGATAATCGCCTCATCACTGTCGATAACAAAGCAGTTTGGAAAAATGAGGTCATTGATGGCATTTTTTTCATGAGCTTTAATTTTTTCTTTGGCCGATTTAATGAGCTTCAATCAATTCACAACATGTTTGGCAGGAGATAAATTTGCAGTGGTCCAAATACCAATTCGATCCATTCTAGGGGACAGAAATGAGAGATCTAGCCTATGTAGGATTGAAGACATAATACATGTGCTAATCAGTATGTTCAGATACAATCATACAAAAGCAGATAGAAACAAGGAAACCTCAATGGTAGAAATACAATCTGTTACAGTCGAGAATGGCAGCCCAATGCAGACATAAGTTGCCAATTGTAGGTATCATTTTCATATGCGTGTAGATGGAAGCCTTTTAACATATGACCAAAGAAAAAGTTCAACCAAATCTTGACCCATCTGGCACAGGTCAAAGGCTAAATGCAGTTCGTATTCGGTCGACAAATCATAGCGCAACGCGGAATAGAACAAGGGAAGAATCGAACTCAGAATAATTTGATGGAAGGCTAAGCAAGGATTCATTGGATAGTGGATACTGTCTGATATTTTGCTCCTCTATCACAATATTAACACCATCAGAAGGAAACAATTGTGTCACAAAATCCATCCCTAAAGATTGTAGACTCTATGAGCCTAGTGGAAATTGACAAATGGAAACTATATTGCATTCAAATGGCATAGAAAACAGTGAGACAAAGTCGTTTACCGAACAAAATGGAAAAGCAAGACATTAAACTGATGATAATCCAAGTGATATCCACATATCAAGCCTAACTAGTTCTAATCCCTTAGCTTCGTAGACACCTTTAGAGGGTACAAGTAGCCTTCCACTTTCCTCCCAGCTAGACTAGTCGATGGTATCGACGTTCCTCGGATCCATTTGTCTCGCCTCAGCCTAAACTCTCGGCCTGCCTCCACACAGGTCTCTGGTGAGTTCAAGGACTTACTAAGCAGCCAGATTTGAAATAGCACCTTCATGTGCCACAACATTATTCCCTGTTGCTCCATGATTCCTTTCTCATGAAGATAAACATCACATCGGCATGGTCGGCATCTATTCGGGGCGCCGCATTGCCGTTGTTTAATTCTTAGTCTAAGAACCCGCCATTTCGTACTACATAATCATGCAGGCATCTGCTCCACACATATCTAATCCGATATCTACCCACGACGCATCAAACATATCCTATATCCTATTCCTTGAGCGAATCACTTCAGCAAGCGAAAATCCTCGACTCTTTCGACAGAAAATGAAGGCTGAATGAAACGGTCGAAAATCCCAAAGCCTTACCTCAGAACCATCAGAGAGCACTTTGGCCAGCACAGGTATCTCGAACTGGTAAGCTCTCTCCCACTCCGGGTTGCTCGTTATATCCCTAACCTGCGCAAAGCATCACGAAACACAAAGCTCAATTCGCGGAAAAAAACTACACCCAAACATCCACGATTACACTTTCACATTTGGCATACTGAGAATGTAAGAACAATCGAAACCTGACCGTGTTCGCGCAGCTACACTGAAGATGCGCAGTCATACCTGCAAATCGACGTCCCGGAGAGAGTCTGGACCGGAAATCAGGAAGGCGGCCTGGAGCTTCTCTTTGAGGCCATCGCACAAACAGCAACCGGGCTTGGAATAGAGGACGAGCTTCCTCGCGGCGGACGGAGGAGAAGGAGGTGGGGAAGAAGAATAGGAGGCGGAGATGAAAGACTTGAGAGCGCATGTAGGCAGCTTTCGCGCCATTGCCACCGTCGACGACGGCCAGGCCGCGGCGGCGACCGCTGCGATGGCCATGGCTCTCCGGTGACCGGTAATACAAAATTTCGGGCTTGGAGATGTTGTTGGCTCGGCGCTGGACCGCTGGTAGTTGGTGTTTTGCTTGCATCACTGGTGGAAGAATTTGGGCCGGCCCGTCTCATCCGGACCCGGACCCGGTTTTTGAAGATGGATTAGGGATTAGCGAGTAATTTCACTCGAAAAGCAAATAAATTTTTTAAATTTTAGAAGAATTTTTTACAATCATATAACTTTTTCATGAATTTTTGTCAAATGTTGACTTACTTAAATGTGCATTTTTATTCTTTCTTTTTTCGCCGGTAGAATCCACACTACCGATGGTTGATGTTTCCTTTCAATCCTATTCGATTCAACACGAGATATATCGTCTCGTCAGATTTTTCTATATAAATCTTTGCAAAATACCAAGGATGTGAAGATTAATCCACAAGGCTAATTTTACAGCACAAATCTTACAGATATATATTTATTGCACATTGAATTCGTAGCATGACCAATACATTATAGCACTGGCCGCACTACGTAGGATGGCCGGCGCTGACTAGATCGCCCCATCAGCGACTTTTGGCCAAAATTCGTTGGAATGACGAAATTGTCAAATTATCAAAAGGTTTGGGACTAAATTGGTGCAAGTGCAATAGTTTAGGACTAAATTATCCAAATTGAAAAGTTTACGATTGAATTGACATAAGTGCAATAGGTTTATGATTTTTTTTTTTGGTAATTACCTCGTTTTTTCGATATCTTAGAGACACAAGCATGGAGACCCGGCTACCTGGATGCCGGTGGAACACTCTGCAACTCCTATGAACCGGCCAAGTTCGGACTTTTGACATGTGCATGTGGCTATGATCCAGAACAATTCACATGCAGTTAGTGAGACTCCAATGGATGATCCTCTATTTCTTGAATTGAAAATCCTCTAACGCCCCAAACCAACAGTGTCAAGTTTGGAGGGCTGACATTTTGTTTATTGCAATAACAATTACATTCAACTATCTAATCTAAAGTTGTACTCCTTATAACATAACCTCCTGTACAATATCTTAAGATAACCTAATCCACAGAGATAGAGATACGAAATCTTTTATATTTCTCTTCCATTTCATTATTATATAAGTTTAGAATCCAACATGGTTATAGTTATTACATGCATCAAGTAATAATGGTTATCCCCCATCTACCGGATCATGTCTCATAGCTATTATCGTCATTAACTAGTTTTGCTCCCTAACCTAAACGACACACTATGAGATTTCACCATATAATTCTGCAAACTAGGTTGACGAACCAAGCTTATACCTCGGTTGCTCTGACAAAATCTCTCTCTTTCTTTTGTAAGACCCAAAAATATGAAATTAAGGGTGCGTTGGATGAGAGCTATCCTATAATCATTATGAGAGCGTTGGAGGTTATGTCAGGATCACTCCCCCTTTTTGTTTCACGGAAAACTTCACGATAAAAGAAAATATTTTTCGGGTAAATCATTTTTAAGGAAAATGGTTACTTTTCGTTTGTTTGGTGATTTAAAGAAAATGATTTTTTTCTTATTAGAAGGGATGATCATTTTCCCCAAATTTAAGCTTGTTGTTTTTAGTTAATGCAAAATCGTTTTTTGTACATTGATTAGTTTTCAGTCATTCAAATCCTGAAAAATCGGAAAACAATATCTCGAAAATGGTTTTCCTTCAAACAAACGGATCCTAATGGTTACTTTGTATTTGTTTGATGGTTTAGAAAGGAAAGTTATTTTCTGTGAATCTAAACTCGTTGTTTTCAGTCCATAGAAAACATTTTCTGTAATTCGATTAGTTTTTCATTATTCATATATTGAAAATTCGGAAAAATAATTTCTCAAAAACAATTTTCTATCAAACAAACCGACCTTTAAGTTAAAAAGTACATCGTTTCCGAGGGGGTGGTTGTGAACTGTGATGCATCTTCTTCTCAAGTCAACAAGTTCGTCTCCATTTACATCAGTCACAACATCACCATCAATTTCACTTGGACGTCGTGGAGGAATGCACAAACCCTTGTCGACATCCTCAGAACTCCTTCCACGATGCTTCTCCATCCCTCTGCCGATCTAGAGATCGAAAGAGGGTGACCTACTTCACATGGGCCTTGCCTCTTCACAGTCCAACATCTTTCCAAAGAAAACTAAAAGACCCCGAATAATTGAATATATACACATATATAATATGCCTTCTGATCTCATCTGCTAATTTTCTGCCCATTCCTCAACGGCACTACATCTTCGCATTAGATTCTCTTGTATTTAGGCGGGGCGACCATGCGACACGTCGCCCAATGTGCGTGCTGGGTTATGGAAACCGTAGTGGGTACGAGCAGAGAATGTAAAGAGTTGTGCGAGATCATGCAGATGGAATTTTTTGAGATTTGGATGGACAAGTTCATGATGAATAATGAGCAAAATGCAAGGTGGGTTTCATCATCTTCTTTGGGTTATTCTCATTCTTAATAGTAGGGAGTGCAAAAGCATGTCTACTGATAAGAACTAAACGAATTAAGGATATCCGGAGTTTGAATGTTCCTCCTACTAATTTTCTTTTATTTATATATTGTGGGTTTTGATTCAAAAACGAGAAGCATGCATTAACACAGCACATCAAATCATATATGCAGCCACACTTTCACTATCCATATATAACTTATGACCACATCAGGGAAAAAATTGTTCAAAAAGTCCTAAACCTATTACAGTTTTGCCAATTCGGTCCTAAACCTATAATTTTGCCAATTCGGTCATAAACCTTTTAACTTTACCAATTAAGTCATAAACCTTTTAACAATTTACCAATTGAGTCCATTTAGCCTCTCCCGTGGCCGCCATGGCCTTCTAGGCGAGGCTCGCGGATGCCTTCGTGATGTGAAGGCCATCTTGACAATGGCAAAAGTAGAAGCAAAAGGGTCGAACACGAAACCAGGATGGATGACGCGTGGCTTGCGTTGTAGATGGTGGGCAGTGCACGGTTGTGGGCGAATACGGTCTCTCCTAGTAAAAAAAAGTAAAGAAGGAAAAAGGGAAAAGAAAAAGAAAAAGAAAATTTTTTAAAAATAAAAAATTTGGAAAATATTATTAAAAATTATCTACGATAGCGTTGGCCGTCTTACGTGGCACGTCCAGCGTCTATGTCAGGGAATTCTGGTCAAACTTGGCCGTATGGACTTAATTGATAAATTTTCATAAGGTTTATGACTCGATTGACAAAATTGAAATGTTTAGTATTGAATTGGCTAAATTACAATAGATTTAGAACTTTTTGGACAATTTTCCCTCACATAAGATATGATGAATTTTTTTCTATCTAAAGTATGTCGTGATTGTTTATGTAGTAGATCTATGCAGGTGCGTGGATGAAATTCCAAATAGATCGAGTCATCATCAATAGGAACATGTAGCTTCCACAAGCTCTATACGTCTTCTGTTACATGAATGGCTCAAAATGCATAGAAACTTGATATATAAAGTCAGTCATGAACCATATATACTACTGCATAAGGTCACATTTATATCTGACGTCTGTGTGAAAGAGAAGACTACACAGAGATTAGACTTGATTTTAATGACTAGACTTATATAATGCGAACGTTTCTGTATTTTTTTACTGTCGATGCGCACGGTTCCTTGTTTTGTTTTTCGTGAAGTTCATTGCCCTCTACGATGATCTCATATTTCAAAAAAACTATGCCACTTGCTTATAATTTGAAACATTTCATCCCTTACACACATCCCAACTCCCAAGAAAGTTTACTTTCAAATGGATCGATTCTTGCAACAGTTGACAATTCATCCCCTATGCACCATTTGTATTTATTCTATACGCTTCATCTTGCAATCTACAATTGACCGCACCCTCGTTGTGTTCATTATCCTCCTTTTTCAAATTTGGTGGATGGACATTTACATTTGGGAAGTAGCGATTCTAGCTCGAGACACTAAAATGGATACATAAAGTTGGTTTACTTGGCAAATCGCGAGTGGGTATTTAAGTAAGTGGGTCATTTTCAAATGTTAAAATGGAAAATTTAGCAAATAACCCCATGATCTAAAGTCGTAATCAATCTCTGTTCATATCCCTCGCATCATTGTTATATATATATATAAATGAAATTTCCTGCTAACTTCTTAAGGACAGAGAGTCCTTGTATATTATTCCATGATATATAGCTTTATGTAAACTAAACAAGTAAGGGGAGCGTGGCAGGAACATGTGGAATGATGCCGAATTCCTGATGAGACTAAGCAATTAAGCAGTGATTAATTAAAAAGAATAAACCTAGAGAAGAACATTAAAGTTTTTAATAGCTAGAAAGAGATGAAGTGAGGCAAACGAGGACTGGTACGGATTTGACGACACTATTCTTTTTTGCACGTGCATCCTCATCGGACAAAGCAAATTCAGCCCGCCTGTCCTCCTCCCTTCCTTCCTAGTTCCCACGTATGACACCCGTGTTTGATTTTTTTCCTTGCTGTTTATTTCTTTTGAACGAATTATTTTATTGCTTGATGTCGGCTAAGCACTCTTAGCCCTAGATCATTAGTGTTCGGTTAAAAGTTAACCTCATCAAAGAGAGGAAGTTAAAGTTTCGGTAAGGGCCTCCGCAACTTATTCATTTGTATTGCAATGACGGCGGATTCCAAAGAAGCGTTTTTTATTTTAATATGTTGGTGTCCACATGTTTTGCCTCCCGAATTCTTCCTGTATGTTTATCTGATTCAGAGAGAGGAAATACCTTCAGAAAATTTTACTTTTAAATAATCCTAAGATATGGACGATGACTGAAATTGGGCCTTTTAAGAATTTACTCAGGTCAAATTACCTTCAAAAGAATGAAGAGATCATTCCCGAGATGGACTCATTTTAATTACCCTCCTGCGATTGCCTCGATCAACCAACGATTCCTAAAGAAAAAAAGAGGATCATTTAAAGTGTGAAAAGGTGCAATAGAGACAAGTGAAAATTCGTCATGTTTGCACGAAGCTTTTACGTAATTGGTATATTAAGGCTCCGTTTATTTCATGAAAAAATATATTTTTTAAAACAATCACTTACAAATATTAATAAACGAAAATTATTTTCGTTGTTCACAAAAATGTTTAGACATAAATTGTTGCTGATAATAAAAACATTTTTCGTTGACTTATTGTTTTAAGCAATGCAAGCGATTATTTTTAAGAAAATATTTTTCAAATCATTTATATTTCACAAAAGATATAAACGAAAAATCCATCAAATAAATGGAAAATATGCAATATATATACATATTTATATATTTCTAGAGTTACCCTCTGTCGCATCCCAATTGATAAGAAGATTGCTCTTTATTTTAAGCGAAAAAACTTAGACTTTCATTGCGTACTACAAAAAAAACTATTGATACAAATATATGTGTGTACGTATTTTCCCAAGTATATTACCACAATGGTATAGATGATTCGTCATTTTCCGATTGGTAAGTATTGATTGAAAAATATTTTTATTTTTTTTTCAAGATCATCTGGTACATATGTGAAATAACCCTCACGACATCCCGATCTCCTTTCCAACGACAGTTTGATCTCGATTTTAGTGTTGGAATGCACTTTGAAATCGGGATGAGTATTTCGAAAATGTTAAAATATGTTTCGAGTTTTAGCCTATTGAACGAACCCGACCCAAATTGATTTGCGTATTAACCCGATAGATCGAAGTTCAAGATTGGATCTTGAATTATGCGGAAATTGCATCCGTATTGAAGCCGCGATCAAGAACATAATTGTTTCCTTCGGCAAATTGGACTCGGTGAAGAAAGAAGATAGAAAAGGAAAGTGACAAGGTGGGGCTTTGTTGACCGAATTCAATTAGGATTCTGCACATGGAATTTACTTTCTCATGTTGATGTCGTCCAAGAGCTCTAAGAAGTAATGGATGCGATTTATGCCATTGAGATTGGTGCTTCTCATAAGCGATTTTGCTTGTAATTTAGAGTTTGTTGGTCAAATTATACCCTCTGAAATTGATAAAGTGCTTAAACCGTGAATCTTGTGCTAAGATTTTGTATATTTCTTTATGAGATTGAGAGATTATTTCGTGAAAAATTGTTAAGCCAATACCGTGCGAGTTATTGGGTTCAATTTGGGGTTGGGAAACATTAAGATTATTTGAGTTACTCGAGTGTGATTGTAATCTCCGATGTAAATCTATAGTGAAATTCTTTGTTACTTTCCCTATGACTTCACATCGACCGAGCCACTTAAAATTTGTTGTCCAATCGATTTTCTTATTTTTCCTATTTTATTATTCGATTGCTTATTTTCGCACATGAAAGTACAGTGAGCATTCTTTCTATACGTGAGGAAATGACCATTCCCTCACCATTTTCTGTCATAGAAAATTTCATTTGTACTCTGGTGCATTTTGTCTTTTCATGTCTAATATGCGAACTCCATCACAATCAAATATTAAAAAATTTCTAACGTAAACGAAATATTCCATTCACCGTGCTAAAGGCTACACCATTAGCATTTTCTTTCTGAAAATGACATAATATGCATTTTTGAATCAATGATGGAGGGAACGCGTCTTGGGCATCTATCAGCCATCGCATCTTAACTCGAGCTGTCAAAAAAATATTTGCAGAAAGAAAAGTACAAAGAGAAATTGCCCTCCTGTGGGAACGCCGTACCAAATAGAATCTCGAAAAGCAGATGCAAGTCAAGCCCCGCCGTGCATGGATTGCATGCCCACGTAAGCCAACGAAAGTGTGCTACAGCAACTACAAACATGGACTAGGGTTTGACAGATGCCGTCATCTTCATCCATATTCTATACTCTCCGCACACAGAAGAGAGAGAGAGAGAGAGAGAGAGAGAGAGAGAGAAGAGAGAGAGGGGCACTTGGGACGCGGTTTTGGGAGATGCAAAGACAGAGGTGGGACAGCTGGTGTTGGCGTAAGGAAAGGTAACGATCAGAGACTGCGCGTGTTGATTTTTGCGTGTCCATACGCAATATAGATTTGTTAGATGATTGCCCACTCTATATTTGACAAAATGGCTCTGCGCAGCATCGCAAACTATAGCTCTCGACCACCCCCCATCATCCTCTGCAACATCCTGGAAGCTGCCTGCTGAGAGAATCCTATCTCTCTCTCTCTCTCTCTTCCACATCACACGCACACAGACGCCAATGGACATCTGGTATTTAGTTAGCTAGTAACGTGTTATCATCTTCTCTATACGTTCATAGACAACCCTTTCTGGGCAAAAAACACCCTGGTCTTAGCTATCTTTATTAATGATCTAGATAACTATTACCCAAAAAGATGGACATATCTTGGAGATGACTCGTACAATCGGCAGATTACACGATCCATGCATCAAATATTAGTTTGGGACCTAAACTTTCACTTGAATAAACGAAAGCGACTGTATATCCGAACATTGATATGTATAACTAATACGATTTTGAGACGACATACAAGTGTACTTTTGTCCTATAATTTGGTTTATTTATTATTTGGTATATGATTTACCCTGCGTCTAATAACCTCAACTTTTTATAAACGATTGTTGCACAATCAAACGTAATAATTAGATTAGAGTGATATACCCCTGTCATAAAGAAATCAATGCCCGATGCTCGCTATTTATCGGCAATTGGCACATCATCGAGGTCAGGGTACCTCCCTTACTCATACGTAGACCCGTCAAACGAGTAGGTCGGATCGAAAATTGTCTGATCCAAATTGACCCATTTAACTCACTTCCATGTAATACAAATCTAGTGACCAATACCCGACATGACTCATATTGCTAAAACGTGTCCAGTTAAGTTCATACCCAAACGAAGGTGAGAGTATGAAGTGAGCAAGGACGAGAGAGGGTGAAGAGAGAATTATAGGGCGGGTTGTGTCTAAGTAAGTTGTGTACCCATTTAACACCCATATTATTTTGTGTTTTACTATTCTATATAACAACTCACCCATTAAATATGAGTTAAGAAATGGGTTTACGATCCATTTTGACAGATTTAGTCTTATAACTATATGAGTTCAGATACAGAATAATAATGCTAATGACAAAGCAGAATTATAACCATACTTATAACTTATGAAAAGATGTTCCATGTTTAGTTGTTGGATTTTGGCTATTCATTCAGATTTTAATTCACCCCTTACTTATTATTCAATTCATGAAACGGAAGATTCTTCTACAGAGATTACGAGAACTACCTACTCAGGGGGGTCTTCCTCGGCATCACAAAATTTTAAAATTGACAGCCATTTTCGCACTTGCGTTTATACTCGAAAGGTAACTAGGCAATAGCCTTTTCTGTTCATTGACCAATTGGAATCTACTCGGAACCCCCCCAACTCCAACCTGCGTCATCTATATATACTCTGTCTCTCTCTCTCTCTCTCTCTGTCTCAACAGCAACGCAAGAAACGAAAACATAGAGGTTCAGGCATCATTCTCACTTCAGTTCATCAACAATGGTGAAGAGGACTAGCGAGCTGAAGATCCAATCGGAGCCTTCCAAACGGGCGTCGCCGTCGCCGTCGCCGTCGCTGTCGCCCGCGTCGTCGTCGTCGGCGTGCAGGAAGTACAAGGGCGTGAGGATGAGGAGCTGGGGCTCCTGGGTCTCCGAGATCCGCGCCCCGAACCAGAAGGCGCGGATCTGGCTCGGGTCCTACGCCACGGCCGAAGCCGCCGCTCGGGCCTACGACGCCGCCCTGCTCTGCCTCAAGGGCTCTTCGGCAGCTTCGGCGCCCAACAGCCTCAACTTCCCTCACTCCTCCCTCGCTTATCGAGTCCCCGACCGCGCGATCCCCATGTCCCCTAAATCCATCCAGCGGGTGGCGGCCGCTGCGGCGGCGGCGGAGGGCGGATCTCTCGACCGCGCCGCCTCGAGCCCGCAGTCCCCGTCGCCTTCGTCGTCGTCGTCGCTGGCCTCGTCCACGTCGCCGCCCGATCACCTGGATGACGACGCCGTCGTCGTCCCTGCAGCAGCCGCACGCGACGGGACGGCGGTAATGATGGACACGTGGTGCAATCTGGAGGGCTGGCTGCAGTCGCCGAGGTTCCTGGGTCCGATGTTCGCCGGCGGCGAGACGTTCGATGATTACTATGAAGAAGCTGGCGATATTCGACTCTGGAACTTTTGCTGATTTTTTTTTTACCCCTCGCCTTTTCTTATCTAAATCAAATTACCAGCGTAAATTCAAGAAAAGACGAAGAAATCTCGTCGATCGAGGAAGAGTTTTTTTTTTTTTGTGAATTTGTATGTACTATTTTGGAATCTCCCATGTGAGCGATGCACGTGGGAGTGTCGATTTCGGAGGAAGTCATGTTTTCTTGTTCCGGACGCTGATTCATTAAAATTCATTCATTAACAAAACTAATAGATTCTCCACTTCTGCGCCGTCTATTTCTGTCTTTTAATAAAAAAAAATTTGCAAAAAAAAATAGTCTTTTTTTTCTTTGTACTCGTATTATGGAGCTGAAGCCAGGTGGTCAGCTGACTTGATCTTAAATAAAATGATATTGTATAATGGTTTCATTCATTCATACCAAAGTACATACTAAGATTGATTTTACGCAATCGGCAGATTAGATGAATGTGGCGGCCTCTAATCATGTCTGGAACGTAACTTTTCTAATTAAGTAAATATCTAAATCTGATACACAAATTGCACATAGAGCGGTCCTCTTGATGCTTTGTCTGGATCCCATCCCATATGAAAGATAAGCCATGATGCTAAGAATGCCAGATCCTGATGGTATTGATCCTTGGTAAGCATCTCATTTTTTCTGTTTAACAATTGTGTTGCAGTGGATATTTTGCAGGGTGTTTATATTAGGCCAAACAAAGAAGAAGAAGAAGAAGAAGTTTGCAGTCGAAATTACTGCGAAAGCGCTGAAATTTGTATTGGGTGGAGTTTACTTCTTCCCATTCTTTGTAATGAACTGTAATTTACATTAATTTATGTTCTCACTCTTTTGGTCCAATCCTAAAACACCCTTGCAGATAGGACTTTCCATCGTCGCATTGCATGATGCTATATTAGGGCCGGGAACCCATTTTGTGACTCAGATTTAACAAGCCCAATTCGGTATGGGAAACTTGTTTTTTTTTTTTTCCTAAAATAAGCTAAATTGGGTTGAGAAAAACTAAAGCCCAAAAAATAGGTCATAATGTTTTTTTTTTGTCTTGTCATACTCTAATTCTCAACTCACTCTCAAATTTTTGCTTCGCTTTTTTAATCTTTACATAGTGCGGGAGTCGAACCCCACACTTGAAACGAAACATCCCCACCCCCAACTCTTCTGAGAAGGTGGGGAATCGAACTCCCCATCCCCCCACCTCCCGGGGAAGGGTGGCCACTTGGGCAACCGCAGTGGTTAGGTCATAATGTTTAGTCACCCATGTTTTAACCCAATTTTTCAAAATAGATAATGACATAAATAGTCTCCGAACTTTAGCCAAATGTGTAATGTGGTTCATGAACTTTTGTTACATATTCAATTTGGTTCCCGAACTATATGAAAATGGTTGTTGTTGTCATTTTATTAATTTAAATTCAAGGACCACATTACACACATAGAGGAAGAATCGATTATGGAAAGGGGATTCAGTTTTTTCAGAGAGGAAGAAGGCAACACGCAGAGAGGTGCAAGAGAAAAGTGAAATCCAGAGGAAGAAATTCGAACATTTCTGGAGCTTTCCAACTCTTATAGTGGCCGAGAAACATCCTTTGTTACCAACCATTGTCATCTCTATGATTTCCTCAAGTACTCATCGAAACTTGCTAAGCTTCGTCATCTCTCCGCTATTACCGAAAGCTTCAACAGCTTGAACCTCAGTTGAGGATTCAAAGAGCTCGGATCTCTCTTGAGCTACTTCTGCGAGTCATGACTTCAATCAACAACTTCATAGAGGCTCGGTCGTTGGTCCAGTTACCAATTGTTGCTTTGTTTTGCTCTATTGACTAGGTAACCTCAGTCACTTTGCTATATCCTGTTTTGAGTCGAGATCCACGAATAAGAATATGAGAATATAACTTTGAATCGTAGCCAATTTATGGTGATTCAGGCGATTGTTGTTGTTGATGTAAAGATTTCATATGAGGAAACCGTAATACTTTTGTGTTTACCTTTATTCTTATAATGTACATAATCTGTTCAACAAAAGGTTTCTAAAACATTTTCTTGGTGAAATAGCTCCAATGTTTGTCGGATTTGAACATGTGTAATGATAATCTTTAAACGATTAGATTTCGTGTTGTTAGCTATTAGATGAGATGAATCGTGGTTATTAAAGTTTGCCTCAGTGAAGTGATCTACTTAGATGTCCCTTATTGTTGTTGCTATTGCTAGTGAAATGATATGGCTCATAGGGATTCGTACAATTTTTGGATGACAACCACTTCATGGGTGATTCTGATTAACTAAACTTGAGAATGTTGTCGGCCAGCAGAATTGGTAAAAAGAGTATCCTATGGCTACTTGTTGGATGTACGTGGTGGGCTTTCGTAATTGTCCTTGCTCTACCTGATATCACCAAACCAATCAACCAAATGCCGATACCATGTTGGCGTACTCCATCTGATTCCACTGAATAGCTGGTTTGTCCTAAAAACGGGGCCAACCATGGAACGATCTGGTAGGGAAGAGTTCTTATAAGCAAATGTTAATTTTCATGTCAATGGTTAGCTGGTCGAACTTTCCCTTATCAAGATTTCTTTATAAGTATTTCAATATATAGGTTTTTTTTACGTTTCTTATTTAATTTACTAATTTTTTTATGGGATAATAACGCAAATAGTTTTCGAACTTTGGCTCAATGTGCAATTTGGTCCATAAACTTTTAATTTATTCAATGTAGTCCCTGAACTTTAACCTAATGTTCAATGTGGTTCCTGAACTTTTAATTTGTTCAATGTGGTCCCTGAACTTTTGGTACATATTCAGTTTAGTCCCTGAACTATATCAAAATGTATAGTATAGTCCCTGAATTTGAATTAATGGAAGGACTACATTGAATATTTTTATAAAGTTCAGGGACTATATATGTTGAACATGTATCAAAAGTTCAGGGACTACATTGAACAAATTGAAAGTTCAGGGACCACATTGAACATTGGGTTAAAGTTCAGGGACTACATTGAACAAATTAAAAGTTCAATGATTTTATTGCACATGGAGTCAAAGTTCAGGGATTGTTTGTATCATTTTCGCTTTTTTATTGTTTAATTTACTTTTCTAATTTGATGTGAAGATTTTATCCGAGTAACGTATACACATGAAGACTTTAAAGTGGGTCAAATGGGTGGGTATGAGTTTTCCTATATTAGGTTAAATATTAATGTATTTTGATAATATGAATTGGGTCAGATACAGGTCGGGTAGGGTATGGATCATTAAAGTCACATTGCATGAAAAATGAGTCAATATGGGTTGGACTATTTTTAACCCGACCCAACCCACCCGTTTCGACCGCTCTATGCTTTATTAAGACAACAATTTTTTTTGGTCGTTATAAGAAAATGATTTAGGTTCTGTTTCTTTGGCGGAAAATGAATAATTCGGAAAATATTTTCTTAAAAATGATCGCTTATATTACTTACGAATATAAATGATCATTCAAAAAAAATATTTAGACATAAATTATGGTCAATAGCGAAAAAATATTTCATTGTCTAATTATTTCAAGTAATACAAACAATCATTTTTGGGAAAGTATTTTCCAAATTATTTATTTTTCCGCGAAACAAATGGAGAAGTAAAGAAAGATCCAAAATCCGTGTCTAAATAGTAGAAATTTGAGTCGCTAACAAAAGAGAGCTCGAAGATCGCTCTTCCTCTTATTGCGGCCCGTGGGCTAATGCTATGAATCAGGGACATTAATTCCACAGACCAATACACGATATCTCTGTCTATCTACTTCTGCCATCTAGGTTCTCTACTTTTCCATCTTCAACGGTACAAAAACGCGACGTGAAATCACGCTCGCCGATTGTCCTCGTTTTGCGCGATCCGACTTGCATATCCCATGCATGCAATGCATGCATCATCTACTTCTAGTGGGAGGAAAAGGGGGAAGAGTCAAGTCGAGACCAGGTATCGGCCCAAAAAGAGAAAACTCGAAGACTAGACGAGATCGGCTAAAATCAGTGCTGATTGCACAACCAAAACTGGGCTAAATCAGGCGACATCGGGCACAAACCCCGTGCAAAGCAGTGATGGGCCCCGTTTAATGGATTTCGGAAGATATAATTGGCCCAAAAAGAAATGTGATGGATTTGAGGATTCTGGTCTAATTTGAAAGGCTTAAACTTAATTAGTCGAATTATGTCTTCGAGCCGAAGCCCTAACACTAGACCTATCAAAATGGGTTATAAACCCATTTCTTAATCGTGTTTGATGGCTGAGTAGTTATATGGATTAATTACATTTAGTAAATAGGTCATAAAGGGGTTTAGAATGGTTTATCCAAAATAATATGGGTGTTGAATGGGTTTACAACTTAATTACTTTACACCCAATCCACTTTTATGACTCTCTCTCGCCCTCACTCGACTCGCACTTACTCACTTCGCGCTCTCACCTTAGTTTGGGTCCGAATTTTCCTAGACTGAATTAAATATAGAAGTGTTTTAGCAATACGTGTTAAGTAGAGTGTGGGTCACTAGATTTGAATTGCATGAAAATGGGTCAATTTGGGTTGGATTATTTTTGTGACGCCCCGAGATTAACTCTCTTAGGTATTGTTCGCTTTTGCTCGTCTCATACCGAGCTTCACGATTTTGTCCATTGATGTAAATGTGAGCACCTTCCCAAGAGGTCGTCACCCATCTTGGGAATGCTCCCATCTAAGCATACTTAACTTTTGAGTTCCAAAGCTAAGCATTGTCAATTCGTCAACAGGTGCTCCTTTGAGTTAATTCCAATTTTCACATATATATCTCATATCGCTCTTCCCCTATTTGATACACGATTCGGTTCATTTTTGCCCCATTCGTCTTTCTAGAAGCTTGCCGGAAGCCGCTCCTTATCCAGGTCCTATGATCCTGGCAACCACTTTCCACCCTTGTCGGACCGGGCCGTTACAAGCCCACTAGCTTCTGTATGCTTTGTCCTCAAACTATACATCTACTGGAGGGGGTCTCGCTCTGATACCATAATGTGACGCTGCTAAATTAACTTACTGAGGTATTGTCTACTTTGGTCCGTCTTATACGGAGCCTCACGGTTTTGTCCTTTGACGGATATGTGAGCACTTTCCCAAGATGTCGCCCATCTTGAGACTGCTCTCACCTGAGCATGCTTAACTCTGGAGTTCCAAAACTAAGCATTGTCATTGCGTCCAAAAACACATTTTTCAGTTAATTCCATTGTTCACATACACACACATCAGAATCG